CTTGGGCGCTTGTAGATCTTTGCATGACCATCGGAGCTGTTCAGATGGACCCTGGATTCATCTGTGTACAGTATACTGTCCTAGTCGTATCTTATGAAGAACATGCTGTATTCACCAAGCGAGGCGTGCCTAACGGTGATGTGGAAGCAGAATTAGGCATCAGGTCGGGGCCGGATTTTGTTCTCCTTCAACAGGTTTCGTACGGTTCTACAACTATTTAGTCTCAACCCAGGAATTGTCAGAGCTTTTAATGTGGCAGTTTAGAATCGATTCCGTAGAAGCACTAACCGAATATGGTTGTCTTGGTTGACAAGTGAAGAGTGTGGCCCTCCTGTATTTAACGTTTGTAAGGGGTAATTTTGTTTTTTCGATTAACATTAAAATGCCTGTCAACGTTTTTAAGCAACATTCCTACTCTTAGCATAATTACGACCAAGTCATGGCATTACCAACGCGTTATTTTTGGTTAAATACGCCTTTTTTTATGAGCATCTGATTGCCAAATAGTGTTTCTGTGCTATTCACATTTTAATAAACACGCCAATGAGTATTATGCTCAATAAGTTGTTCATGCAAACCGTGAATCCCGACCTTAATCTCGAGTAGAAGTCTTGATGCAGATGTATTGAAAGGTAATCTTATAATTGCAGAATAATTATAGTTTAATTGAACATAAACTTGCCCACACATGAGGTGAAATATCAGTGGGGGGCTGAAAAGTCATGAGGAGAAGTGGTCACCTGCTAAACATCCTCATACAAGTATTTCAGAAGAGATGTTGTTTCATTCAACTGTAATCAAACGAAATAGAGAACACGACGGAGGAATAAATTTGATGTATTCTACAGATCAAAGTCAGGAATCTAATTGATATGAATACAGCGGTAAATATTCAAGGCATCTATGTCTGTATCCATTGGGTGTAGGTCACAGTCTAATATCTGTAGCGTATAACAGTTATCTGCTATGGTACTTGGTACATAGGATGTGTTGTACATAAAAGTTATTACTTAGTCGTGAGCTCTAAAACATAGTGCAAGGATACTTGGTACACAGTGCAGGATCTGTTGTATATGACCGTTATTACATAGTCGTGAACTGTAAACCACAGTGCATGGGCATTGGTACAGAGAGTCTCTTACGGTAAATACCTCGTTTGATCATGTATAGCACTTTGCAGGATCTGTAGTATATACTAGTTACTATCAGTCCGTATCTCGCCAGATACAGTGCAGGATATGTAGTATATACTAGTTACTATCAGTCCGTATCTCGCCAGATACAGTGAAGGATCTATAGTATATACTAGTTACTATCAGTCTGTATATCGCCAGATACAGTGCAGGACCTGTAGTATATACTAGTTACTATCAGTCTGTATCTCGCCAGATACAGTGACGGATCTGTAGTATATATGAGTTACTATCAGTCTGTATCTCGCCAGATACAGTGCAGAATCTGTAGTATATACTAGTTACTATCAGTCTGTATCTCGCCAGATACAGTGACGGATCTGTAGTATATACTAGTTACTATCAGTCCGTATCTCGCCAGATACAGTGCAGGACCTGTAGTATATACTAGTTACTATCAGTCTGTATCTCGCCAGATACAGTGCAGGATCTGTAGTATATACTAGTTACTATCAGTCTGTATCTCGCCAGATACAGTGCAGGATCTGTAGTATATACTAGTTACTATCAGTCCGTATCTCGCCAGATACAGTGCAGAATCTGTAGTATATACTAGTTACTATCAGTCTGTATCTCGCCAGATACAGTGACGGATCTGTAGTATATACTAGTTACTATCAGTCCGTATCTCGCCAGATACAGTGACGGATCTGTAGTATATACTAGTTACTATCAGTCTGTATCTCGCCAGATACAGTGCAGGATCTGTAGTATATACTAGTTACTATCAGTCCGTATCTCGCCAGATACAGTGCAGGATCTGTAGTATATACTAGTTACTATCAGTCTGTATCTCGCCAGATACAGTGACGGATCTGTAGTATATACTAGTTACTATCAGTCTGTATCTCGCCAGATACAGTGCAGGATCTGTAGTATATACTAGTTACTATCAGTCCGTATCTCGCCAGATACAGTGCAGGATCTGTAGTATATACTAGTTACTATCAGTCTGTATCTCGCCAGATACAGTGACGGATCTGTAGTATATACTAGTTACTATCAGTCTGTATCTCGCCAGATACAGTGACGGATCTGTAGTATATACTAGTTACTATCAGTCCGTATCTCGCCAGATACAGTGACGGATCTGTAGTATATACTAGTTACTATCAGTCTGTATCTCGCCAGATACAGTGCAGGATCTGTAGTATATACTAGTTACTATCAGTCTGTATCTCGCCAGATACAGTGCTGGACCTGTAGTATATACTAGTTACTATCAGTCTGTATCTCGCCAGATACAGTGCTGGACCTGTAGTATGTACTAGTTACTATCAGTCCGTATCTCGCCAGATACAGTGCAGGACCTGTAGTATGTACTAGTTACTATCAGTCTGTATCTCGCCAGATACAGTGACGGATCTGTAGTATGTACTAGTTACTATCAGTCCGTATCTCGCCAGATACAGTGCAGGATCTGTAGTATATACTAGTTACTATCAGTCTGTATCTCGCCAGATACAGTGCAGAATCTGTAGTATATACTAGTTACTATCAGTCTGTATCTCGCCAGATACAGTGACGGATCTGTAGTATGTACTAGTTACTATCAGTCCGTATCTCGCCAGATACAGTGCAGGATCTGTAGTATATACTAGTTACTATCAGTCTGTATCTCGCCAGATACAGTGCAGGATCTGTAGTATATACTAGTTACTATCAGTCCGTATCTCGCCAGATACAGTGCAGGATCTGTAGTATATACTAGTTACTATCAGTCTGTATCTCGCCAGATACAGTGACGGATCTGTAGTATATACTAGTTACTATCAGTCTGTATCTCGCCAGATACAGTGACGGATCTGTAGTATATATGAGTTACTATCAGTCTGTATCTCGCCAGATACAGTGCAGGATCTGTAGTATATACTAGTTACTATCAGTCCGTATCTCGCCAGATACAGTGACGGATCTGTAGTATATACTAGTTACTATCAGTCTGTATCTCGCCAGATACAGTGCAGGATCTGTAGTATATACTAGTTACTATCAGTCTGTATCTCGCCAGATACAGTGCTGGACCTGTAGTATATACTAGTTACTATCAGTCTGTATCTCGCCAGATACAGTGCAGGATCTGTAGTATATACTTGTTACTATCAGTCTGTATCTCGCCAGATACAGTGAAGGATGTGTAGTATATACTAGTTACTATCAGTCTGTATCTCGCCAGATACAGTGCAGAATCTGTAGTATATACTAGTTACTATCAGTCTGTATCTCGCCAGATACAGTGACGGATCTGTAGTATGTACTAGTTACTATCAGTCCGTATCTCGCCAGATACAGTGCAGGATCTGTAGTATATACTAGTTACTATCAGTCTGTATCTCGCCAGATACAGTGCAGAATCTGTAGTATATACTAGTTACTATCAGTCCGTATCTCGCCAGATACAGTGCAGGATCTGTAGTATATACTAGTTACTATCAGTCCGTATCTCGCCAGATACAGTGCAGGATCTGTAGTATATACTAGTTACTATCAGTCTGTATCTCGCCAGATACAGTGACGGATCTGTAGTATATACTAGTTACTATCAGTCTGTATCTCGCCAGATACAGTGACGGATCTGTAGTATATATGAGTTACTATCAGTCTGTATCTCGCCAGATACAGTGCAGGATCTGTAGTATATACTAGTTACTATCAGTCCGTATCTCGCCAGATACAGTGCAGGATCTGTAGTATATACTAGTTACTATCAGTCTGTATCTCGCCAGATACAGTGACGGATCTGTAGTATATATGAGTTACTATCAGTCTGTATCTCGCCAGATACAGTGACGGATCCGTAGTATATATGAGTTACTATCAGTCTGTATCTCGCCAGATACAGTGACGGATCTGTAGTATATATGAGTTACTATCAGTCTGTATCTCGCCAGATACAGTGACGGATCTGTAGTATATACTAGTTACTATCAGTCCGTATCTCGCCAGATACAGTGACGGATCTGTAGTATATACTAGTTACTATCAGTCTGTATCTCGCCAGATACAGTGACGGATCTGTAGTATATACTAGTTACTATCAGTCCGTATCTCGCCAGATACAGTGCAGGACCTGTAGTATATACTAGTTACTATCAGTCTGTATATCGCCAGATACAGTGACGGATCTGTAGTATATACTAGTTACTATCAGTCTGTATCTCGCCAGATACAGTGCAGGATCTGTAGTATATACTAGTTACTATCAGTCTGTATCTCGCCAGATACAGTGCAGGATCAGGACCGGTAGTATATACTAGTTACTATCAGTCCGTATCTCGCCAGATACAGTGCAGGATCTGTAGTATATACTAGTTACTATCAGTCCGTATCTCGCCAGATACAGTGCAGGATCTGTAGTATATATGAGTTACTATCAGTCCGTATCTCGCCAGATACAGTGCAGGACCTGTAGTATATACTAGTTACTATCAGTCCGTATCTCGCCAGATACAGTGCAGGATCTGTAGTATATACTAGTTACTATCAGTCCGTATCTCGCCAGATACAGTGCAGGACCTGTAGTGACCATGAGCAGTTAGTGATTGTCCATATCATACCATTACCCTACATAAATACGACTTGTAGTGTGTGAGAGGTACATACTACAGAATACAGCAGATGTTCTGTAGTGTATGACGAAAGCTTAGCACACAGTAATAACATTTATTCCATTTCACCCCAACCCCAACTGCACACCAAACCATCCAAACCATCATCATAATGTAACTTGTTAACACACGATCGGCAGAGAGAAACCATTCAATATAAAACATTAGAAAATGACATTTTATTGAGCAATATGTTGACAATGATGCTAACATCAGTTCTCCTTTTTGAGTTATGAAAAGTAAAAACAATAATTTGATGGTGGAAAAGGACTCTTCGTTGCGAATCGTACACTGGGATATTTTGTATTATCATGGCAAGACATATATCAACAGTTCAATACGAAGGGCACGACCGGCGTGCAGTACACGCCCCTGTATGCTTAGGTCGTGTTTGGGTTATGTGGCACCTGACATCAGAACAGGCTGGAGATGCTGAAGAACCCGGGATTGACACACGGGAAATATACAAACTGAAACATATATCAAACATACAATTGTCAAACACATATCAAACATATATCAAACATATATCATGACGTGATATACCTAAAAAACTGTTCAACAGTGTTTACCACGCACTCTACCTGACAGTTAACATACACAAATTCCACGAAATACTTTCTTGAAAATCTTTTAAATGAAACCTGGGATACTGTTCAAAACAGTGTGCAACCAAACTCACTCCATCTGGCAGTTAACATACACAAATCCCACGAAATACTTTCTTGAAAATCTTTTAAATGAAACCTGGGATACTGTTCAAAACAGTGTGCAACCAAACTCACTCCAAGTTAACAGTCCCACGAAATACTTTCTTGAAAATCTTTTAAATGAAACCTGGGATACTGTTCACAGTGTGCAACCAAACTCACTCCATCTGGCAGTTAACACAAATACTTGAAAATCTTTTAAATGAAACCTGGGATACTGTTCAAAACAGTGTGAAATAACATTTCTTGAAAATCTTTTTAAATGAAACCTGGGATACTGTTCAAAACAGTGTGCAACCAAACTCACTCCATACTGTTCAAAACAGTGTAACCAAACTCACTCCATCTGGCAGTTAACATACACAAATCCCACGAAATACTTTCTTGAAAATCTGACAGTTAACATACACAAATCCCACGAAATACTTTCTTGAAAACTTTTCAAATGAAACCTCGCTAACTCTTGATAATCTAGGAATCGTTGAAGAAGTATCAGATTATGGGAATAAAGTGACACGTCATCACAATTATTTGCAATGGCAGCTGTGAAATCAGTATGATATGCCATCCATGTTTGAACACTCAGATATCCATCAAATCTCACACACGCACACGTACACATACGTGTATGGTGCATGGACGTTGCATACACGGATACATCATATGGTCTTTTTTATCAAGGAAATGCATTTTCTAGTCATGTACACTTGATGACTAAGGTGTGACGGTATTCTATAACATCAGTCTCAATCAGGAGTGTTCGTCCTCTTCCAGGATGTGTGTACAAAGGGGTACAAGCATTATAGCAGGAACGAGATAGATTAGGCAGACATTATGCAGGAAACAAAGCATCATCTATCATGGGATGCACCTATATTGACACATCATGAGTAATCATGTCCTTTTTAACATGCTGAATAAAGTACCTACGTACCTTCATGCCTACTTTGACGCGTTCTTATCGTCATTCATTTTTACATCATTAGAAATGTGCATTGCAATGTGTCACATTTATCAAAGAGTTTTCACTTATATAATGACATATGTGTGAAGGTATTTTCATGTTCGTACCATGGTCAGTATTATCACATTGTAAAAATGTTAGTTTGTATACTCGAGGCAATGGGTGACGGGCGAATTTTAGTTTTAGACTTTAAACAGCACTGAGAAAAACATAAAAATATTTATGGTACAATGTCCCATGATCTATTTCATTTCACTAAAAGGACATATCCGTCGTTTTTAAATGAACGTGTGTGTGTGTGCGTGCGTGCGTGCGTGCGTGCGCGCGCGAGTGTGTGTGCACGTGTACGTCTGTGTGTAAGAGAGTGGGAATGTATTTTACTGGTTTGAGGAGTTAACGTTCAATGTTTGTTTCCATTACACCACTACAGCTTGTTCAGCTTGACCTGAGCTACTCTACATATGCATGGCCCGGGAGGTCAAATGGCACAAACGACAGGTCAAGTTAACTTCATTAAATAGGGGAGCAGAGAATGTTATTAATGTTGCGTTCGTGCGAAACATGCATGCATGGATTCGTTACATCTCGAATCGGAAACATTAAACCATCTGTAGCTCCTTCTTTTTAAAGAAAGTTAGGACATTGCTGGCGATTTCTCGACACTGAGATGTCAAACGGCGACCTTGTCTCGGCTTTTCGGACATGTGGACAATCAACTGACAAAGGTGCACCCCTTGACAATAATAGACCCAACCAGTTGTGACATGGTCACGCAATGCATTAGTAGCCACATAAAAAGGTCAAGCTGAACAAGCTGTACATCTCAGATTTTCTGTAAGAATACAGGTATAGATACCTCGTCGAACTCGCCAACATAGTTCTCAAGGCCCTTGCCGGCCCCAATCTGTAGTGGGCAGTCACTGAGCCCGATGTAGTCGTTGATATCTGCAGAACAAACAATGTGTAGACCAGCGATACAAACAATACATGGCTCAAGGGCATGTAAGGGAAGTAACTCTTCACTGCGATGTGACACATCCGGTTTCCCAACATTGATTCGATTTGTAAAGTCAATTATTAGATATAGAAACTACATGACTGGTCGGTGGTCAGGTTGACCTTTTGACATAGCTATACGCAAAGAATGATGAAGAACGAGGACGATAAAACATTGTTTTTATCATGACGTAATTTCTGGAGATTTCGAACATACGCTCGCATTTTCCGTACACTCTGCTTGTTGCACAAGGAAATCGAGGAATATGCTCGTAATACCTGTACGAGATCAGGGGGACATTTTGAAAGCTTTGTTCCATTCAATAATGTTGTTAGTATAAGGTCCATGAGGTATCAGTTCACCTTTAGCGAATGTCTGCTTGGGCTGGCCTGCCACCTGGACTTCCACAGCCGTCTCGTTCTGGGCGATCTGCACCAACACCTCCTCCCGGACGTTCTACAAGAGAGGGAGAAAATGTGTAATTAACTTCAATTGACAGGTGAGATATAACTGAATTTAACGCCGTGTTCAGGTATGTTCTAGTCATATAGGCTATTTATGAGCGTACACTTTCATATGTTTGCATGCGTGGATGGGGATCGAAGTACCAACCTTCCATTGTCTGGACAGACGCTGTGCCGCCCTATCCACTAGACGGTCCCTCATTCACATCTGTACGATTCTTTTTGTGGTTTCATCACCCATGTGGGTTAAAAGGGTATGAGTGACTGCCACTCTTAAAATGAAAATGGGTAAATATCGAACATACTGATCGAACATACAGATTTTCTTGTTATCTGTCACATGTGGTTGAACACTTTAAATGATGCCCACCACCACCCCCATCCCCATACCCCATCCTCTCCTACTTTATTTACTTTATTGAAGTTTGGGGTGAACCGGGTATGGTTTGAGCGTTCGCTTGTCATACTCACTAACTTAACAGAGTTTTTGTTTCTTGACTGGTATTATCCATAAGTGAGTGAGTATGGTTTCACGCTGCTTTTAGCAATATTCCAGCAATATCAGGTCGGGGGACACCAGAAATGGGCTTCACACTTTGTACCCATGTGGGGAATCGAACCCAGGTCTTGGGTGTGACGAGCGAATGCTTTAACCAGTAGGCTACCCCATCGCCCCTCCATAAGTGAGTGCGTGGTGGGACACAAGTAATGGCCTCACACATTTTACCCATATGGGGATTCGAACCTATGCCAGTCGGCGTGACGAGAGGACACCTGACCATACCGGCGTGCCCCGCCGCTATTACGAACATGAACCTTACCACGTTGATATTTCTCACGCTGATGTTCATATCTCTTTCGTCGTTTGTCATCCTAAGACTGAAAGTCGTCGTAGCGAACTGATTATGATGCCGTCCCGGTCGCAGCTTGAACTCCATGGTGGGTGGAGCATCTACGCAGCCGTTGCTGAGTATGGCGACGTCACGGAAGGTGCGCTGCCCCGTATACTTGAAGATGAATGCCATGGCGAACGCGGGCCGAAGAGGGTTTTGCTGGAACATTGGGAGGGATAGGAACGACGAGCCGTCGAAGTGGGCGCGGTCGGTGACGACGATGTTGCCAGAGGCGCTTTGGTCACATCTGTTGCTGTACTCATTAAAGCTCTGGTCATAGGAGAAGCGGCATGATTCTTCACAGCCTGTAGAACAGAAATAAAGACTCTTGTTTTATCAATATGTAGGTCCCTTACACCCATTCAAAAGATACATACCTTTATGGCCTACGGATCAAGGCCTATTGAAATTACACTCCTTCTGACGTAGTAGGCCTGTAATGGCTGCAATAGTGCGGCGTTAAACAACAAACTACTAAGATGACAGGCTCAACTCCCCTGGGAATATTTATAAGATTAAACTTCAAACTATGTTTTATCGAGTTTTATTCAGAGTGAAATAAGTGTCAATTTTGCCGAGTTTTCGCGAGGTAATTAAAATTACCACAGATGTTTTTTTAAGAGTTAACCATGAAGCTCCTAAACTAACGACGTTTGGTAACGGAAACCTCGCTAAAACGTCATACTTAAATAGAGACTACCAGAGCTCTTCAGAAGAGACTTGGACTGCCCTTGTATTGTGTCTACAGCAAGCTTGACGTGCCAGACGGTGACGGAAGAACAGGATGATGTAGTCACCGGACGTTGGGCCTGGACGCTGGGCTCCCTCAACCGATTACATACGGTTCTGCCGGCTTTGTTCGAAGGGGTTGTCCTAGTTAATGTGCCTGGATACTGTGCTCCCTCAACCGATTACACTCGGCTCTGCCACCATTGTCCGAAGGAGTGTCCGAGTTAACGTGGTAGCCTGGCATTGATGCCAAAGATGCAACAACCGAATATGGTTACCTTGTCGCCGTGACGTCACACATGTACAGTCGACTCATGTCATTAGAGTTTTACTGTAAATACCGTGTCCACAGAGAAAATATTGCATTCGATAAACAAGAAAATGTCTAACAGCTTTAGTTGGCGACCTTCCTGTTTGGGCATAACATCGGCGCGTTCACGTTGATTTTCAGCAAGCCGTATTTGTTTATGAAGGCTTGGCAGATAAACAATAACTGCATGCTGCTTCTTTTTGAAAACGACATGTGTGCGTATCGTGTTGCAAACAAAGGAGCAAACATCACCGTGTATTAATACGCAAGAGCAAGTGGAACAACGATCTTGAACAATATAAACCGACGTTCAAAAGAAAGTACACACCTGATTCTTTGGTAAAATATTTTCTTTAAAACAGCATTAATATTTTAAAAAGTGTTTGATTCTGTCTTGTCACAAACATTGTGCAAGTGTATCCAAAACACCACACATATTGTATCCAATTACAACATTGCTAGCAAAATATTTATGGTTTTAATGGGAATAGTCCCAAAAAACCAGGTGTATACTTTCTTATGTTCGTCAGTATATGTCTTCAAAAATGTGTATTATTTGATTTCAGAATATTATTTATTGAAATTTTTGTGGCGCACAGTTACTTTTACACGATATCATGATTAACTTGTGGAAATATATCCTCTTGCAAATATAGTATAGAAAGATGTGAAGTTATAAGAACCAGTAGTTACTATAGTCTGTTTGCAGTGAAAACGTACCGATGAATGTCAGTTTAAACCAAAAGGTAAAGCAAATAAAGTGAAATTAAGACTGCGAATCCTCATGATTTTACCTTGCCAATTGAACATTAAAATCTCAGAATTTTATTCGACTTAGGATAAAAGTTGTTTAACAAACGATCATAGTCTCGCATGGCTATTATTGGTTTGTATTACAAGGGGGTATGCACATCAAATGAAACACAGAAAAAGACAAGGGTTGTTATAAGTTAACGCTCTTCACGTACCGCACGTGCATTTGTTTCACTGTTCCAACTATTGCGCTTACCCCATTGTAATGAAAACCAGTAATAGCGATTTGAATCTATGATCATTTGTTAAACAACTTTTATCCTAATTTGAATAAATTTTTGAGATTTAAATGTTCAGTTGGCAAGGTAAAATTATGAGGATTCGCAATCTTAATTTCACTTTATTTGATTTACTTTTTTGTTTAAAGTGAAATTCATTGGTACGTTTTAACTGCAAACAGACTATAAACGATAATGAAATTTGCGGGTGAAAGAACTCGAGAACAATGCACGTGGAACCCGTTATAGTGATTTGGGTCATTCTTTTTTCGTCGGATTGTTGCGTAGTAACAACAGACGTCACCGTGGTGATTCAATACATGACGTTAGCGCTCAAATGTCACGCATTAGTCAGTGGTTAAGCTGGAGATCTATATTTGTTCCCCGTGATCGCATCGAAACAATTTGTGTGATACCAAGTTTATGACCTGTGAAGATCCGGGTTAGAATATTGATCTTAAGTAACCCATGCTTGTAAGAGGCGACTAACGGGATCGGGTGGTCAGACTCGCTGACTTGGTTGACACATGTCATCGGTTCCCAATTGCGTAGATCGATGCTCATGTTGTTGATCACTGGATTGTCTGGTCCAGACTTGGTTATTTACAGGACGCCACATAGCTTGAATATTGCTGAGTGCGGCGTAAAACTAAACTCACTCACTCACCAAGTTTATGGGATTTGCACTGTGATGTGAAGCCATGCCTTGGCTGTTTTATAACAAAAGTGTTCAAGGTCACCAGAAAGGCTATTAAGTCATTGACCTGTTAAATGCTAAAGTATTCATACCGTCGTCGATTGGTCATCATGAAGTGTAGAGTCAATAAGTCGTCAAAGGTTCAGCAGTCACCGCCACAATGGCGTTTCACCATCCTCAGTGACGAGTTTGTCTGCATTTCAGTAAACCGTGTTTGGAGACGTGCTTCCAGCAGTGTATCACAGAGCACAGTACGACTCAGAGGTGGTGTGGGGAACGTAACTCTACACAGCATATTTCGGCGCCTGGCTACCACGAGGTTGTGTTTGTTTGGTCGTTTGTTTGTTTCACGCCGCACTCAGCATATAAGCAAGCTGCATGAGGGCAGTCTGGAAATAGTCTGGACCAGACAATTCAGTGATCAACAGCATGAGCATCGATCGCCTCTTAGTCGCCTCTTACACCAAGCATGGGTTGCTGAAGACCAATTCTAACCCGGATCTTCACGGGTCAGCTACCACGTGGTCCCTAATCCAGACTGGCATCTGGCAGTGGTCCGTGTCCACGATCATTATCGTGAACATTCAATCCACAAGTGAAATCCTTGAAGATCAAACCATAAATCTTGGATTAATGGCATCCCAAGTATGTGTTTCCGTATAAGTATCGGACAAGGAATCCGACATAAGTCACTCACTCATGGATCACAACAAAATGTGCACATGTTGTATTTGGGATTACACTTTCTCAGTAATTTACAGATTATAGTATACTGTACTTTTGTTGGGTTCAGTCTCGTCCGGGATTCGAACCCACACTCTCAGCCAGGCACCTAATTGCTAGCACGAAGTTAGTCTTTCACAAAAGTGGAAGTTGGACAACTGGTAATCTAGATCATCGACTTAATGTATCCTTTTGAGATATCACCCCTGTTTTAAGCTTTACTTAGAAAGATTAAGTTTGAACTCCAAAGTCCTAAAGTTGAAGAGAAGACATGAGTGTTATTCGTAACACGTAACGGCAATGGAAACCAGTAGTTGTCTAACCATTTGGTCATACACTAAGCATAAGACAGAGATGCTTACGCCACCTTCAGCATATACTTCCTGATAAGATATATTTTACGAGCGTTTCTTTATACTTCCGAAAAAGTACTTTTATACATAAAACACAAATATACATAAATGTTTCATCTTTACAGAAGACAGAAAAAGCATTTTCTCTCGGTTTTCGTTGAAATGTTATCCCTAGGTGATGGAATAGCTCTTGGGGGTTAGGCACTATTTGTCAAAACAGTTTGACTCTGAACAGAAACAATCTGCCTAAACATTGGTTCTAAATTCTCTATATGACAAAAGGATTTTTCTATACATGCATGTGATAATCGTCATCTTCTGTGTCTTAAGTGATCACTCAAACTGCCTTTGGATGGAATTTGATCAAACACTTGACGCCGATTATTAATGTCAGCGTTATAGTGAGCCTTTAATATCCTTCATTAACTAATGTCAAAATTTGTTAAATATTTCAAAAAATAACTGTCATTGAGAACAGCTGCACCTAACATTGATGAGGTCGTACCTATGCATGTGTTTTCTCCTTTTTCACTTCTACGGTAATTTAAATACTGCGGACTTTCGTCCTGTTTTCAAAGTGTGATTGTGTGGTGTCTCTATTAACACATCGGTATTTATCATGGCAGGCCATATAAAACAATAATGGTACTCATAACTATCATAGCTCCATGTCAATAGGTACGGCGGTAGACAAGTTGTTGAAGCGTTCGCTCGTCACACCGTAGGTTCGGGTTTGTTTCCCTCCACGGGTACAATGGGTGAAGTCCATTTCTTGCGTCCCCAGATGTGGTATTGCGGAAATATTTCCTAAAAGAGAGACAACTTACCTTTCACGGGAAACAGCCATATTCCGATAAGCGTGTGAAATAGAACTGCTTTTAACCATGTCTTTGTGAAACGAGCATTCATTTTCGGAGGAGGATAAAACTAATCCGGACTGCAATCGACGATGTAGTCCCGTGGCCAAACCCGGCTCCTGTCTTGAGTGTCTGCAACACCGGGTCAGGGACGTGTGTTCGAGTCAGCAATATTCAAAACCTGCATTTGTCTTGAACAAGATCAAGGCTGTGACAGGCAAAACATTGTCTGCCTAACGCCCCCATTGTCAGTGAAGTCTGTTCTGTGTTAAGACGCAGTAGGCTTCCACTGTTAGTTCTGTCAGTTGGACCATGTTTCAGATGTTCGAGTGGCCGTGGACAATGTGTGAGACTCACGTCCCATCCCAGCCCATGTTGACAGACGGGCATGCCTTGATCCCCACCAACACGAGGGGGTTGCATGGCCCCAGTCGCTGTTTGCATATCTCGAGGACAACAAGAGAGTCGGTTGTTCTTGGAAGTTGTGAAGTCAAATCGCCAACACTAAGACCATCAGCCTCGATCAGCTGATAAAACGGATCACGGGAAATCAGTGATAACACAAGGGTTCGCTAGACAAGCCTTCATGACAGTGCGGCTTTAACAAACAAGCAAATACTCAAGCCAACAATATAGTGGGAATTGTACAATCGATTTTGAAGTCCTTTAAGCAGAGATTTCTTATGTGTATGGAACGGGGTTTGTCGCTATTATTTGTCACTGCAAACAGTCGAACCTCCACAGTCCGGACATATTTAATTAGGAAACCTCACTTAACAATGCTCACATGTTAAAACGTGGCATTTATGAAAAATTTGCTAATTTAGGACTAATTCTACCTGGATTATCATGGTATAGACAGATACCAGTAGTCACGTATTAGAACGTTCCGTCAAAATGTACAGTCAGTCTAAGTATTACAGGGTTTTGTTTCACATAATACATAGTCTGTATTGTTAGTAATGTAAAATTCCGAAGTGAAAGTAGATTCAGGAAACTTGTGTTAGTTACCCGTGAAGATACCGGTTAGAATTAGTCTTAGTAACCCATGCTTGTCGTAAGAGGCGACTAACGGGATCGGGTGGTCAGATTCGCTGACTTGGTTGACACATGTCATCGTATCCCAATTGCGTAGATCGGTGCTCATTCTGTTGATCACTGGTTTGTTTACAGACAGCTGAAGTGTTGCGTTAAACAACAAACAAACTAACAAAACACATACCACTCATTCTCTTATATGGGAGAAGACAGCCTGAAAGGTAGGTGTTAGTCATGTAAACCAAGAAAGAGCGAATAAAACGTTCTGCGATGTAGATGTCTGTTAGCTCATTACAGAAAGATCACAGGGGCGCTTTGTTTCCCGCAATCCATATAGCTCAAATGCGTATATGTTGCTAAACACTGAACAGTCAAACACAATCGACTCGAAATCATTTTCATGTGAAAGCTTGGTGCCTCCGTATTCCTTCTTTATTCATCATTTTGCGTTCTGTCGAAGCTCGGATAAGTTGAAGTATTTACGTAGGTCCCGTCAACTTCGACACCAGGGTGTTTCACTGCACGTCATCAGTGATTCTTTTGTCAATGAGATCGGTGCGTCAAACGTCGAGTACACGATTGGAAACCAAAACACTGTTCACATTAATCTGACTCTGAGATTTGGTGACTGTTTATCTCGTACATGTTGACTTAAAATGAGTGAGTGAGTTTGGTTTGCGATGTAGCAATAGCATTGTATCGCTTTTAGCAATATCAAGGCGGGGGACACCAGAAATGGGCTTCTCACATTGTACCCATGTGGAGAATAGAACACATGAGAATAGAACACGGAGAATAGAACTCGGGTCTTCGGCGACTAGCAAAGGCTTTAACCACTAGACTACCCCACCGAACCGGACTTCATAAAAGGATGAATAGGTTAAGCCTTCTTTCTGAAGGAAATATGGACAAATATGTCGATGCATGACTTGTCTCAGTTTAGTAGGACCACGATCTGCTCAAATCTGCTAGCGGCAGTAGATATGACTGTTCGAATTGTTTCCGTGTTCTCTTGTTGTCGAGTGTTTCCCCGGCCTGGGACTATTTCTTTTGCGCATGAATATCCCTTGACAAAACACAACCTTCAGACACTAGATATCAAATTAGAATTGTTTTATCTGTTTGTTTTCAAATGAAAGCATACTGTGTTATGTGTTAAGTATTCAGAAAACAGCCATAATGTCAAACGAACTGATATTGGCGGCGCTCAGGGCAATATCCACTTCCACGTAGGTAACAGAATTGGTTTGTACTTAAAGATGAAACACGACAGCCACTTTTAGTACGAAACATTCCTATTCTTGTACTACCTAAGAAGGACCCGTGAAGATCCGGATTAGAATTGGTCTTCAGCAACCTATGCTTGTAAGAGGAGACTAACGGGATCGGGTGGTCAGGCTCGCTGACTTGGTTGACACATGTCATCGTTCCCGATTGCGTAGATCGATGCTCATGCTGTTGATCACTGGATTGTCTGGTCAAGACTCGCTTATTTACAGACCGTCGCGATTGCTGAGTGCTCCATAAAACAACAAACCAAACCAAAGACAGGTTAACAATCCGATGATCCTTAACTCTTAAATCATGCACATAATGATGAAACTCTGAACATGTCGACCGTGTGTTTATTTGGTATTTGTTGAAATGTACTCTGTATCCTTGTCCAGAGCTTTTATTGCCTGCATGTCATCCGTGCAGAGTTCAAAGTTGAATATCTGAAACAAAGAACAATATCTAGTCAGTACTTTTTTAACCAAATTTGAGTAAAGATTACTGTCTCTCTGCACTTTCCAACACAGGGTATTGGTACTATTGCATTCGTTTACATGAAAGTTTATATACTTTAATCCCATTTTGAGTCAACGCTCCCATACATGAGACAGTCTTCTATGAGGTGCGTGACACAGTCTACTAAAGCTTTTTGGAATATTATTGTAAATACGCCAAAGCCTTTTCCATAATCATAAAAATCCATATACATGACATGAATCACCGTGAGATAGTTCGCAATAAGGTGAGCGTATCTTGCCCACCGGTGGTCCCCACTCCCCACCACAAACACATGTGAAAGGAAGGTAATTGTTCACCTGATGAAACAAGGAAACATATGGTACAAGACAAAAGAGCAAATTGTATTGAAGATCATTTGCCAAAACTCCTCCCCAACTATACTAGGCACATAAAGAAAATGTGCATACAAAAATTGTAAAATCTAAATTTATCAAACCTGTGTAGACACATAAGGATTCAAACTCAGAGATTAGTGACATGTATCCAACATGCATGCACGTGCCACGTTCCGTGACGTCAGTGGGTTCGTCCTTGAGACGTGCACTACGTTGTTGCACGTGCATTCAACGAAAGAGAAACAGAGCAAACGAATGCCACATAATACTGCCACTTTGGAAAGCTCAATCCCTGCCCTTGCGATCGTTCAAAAAATTAAACGGCTATTGAAACGCATAGCATGCCAAGGCTCACGTCTGCACAACGTCTTGAGGCCATTGGGATGGTCCGTGGGTATATGTCTCAACGACAAGTGGCTGTACATTTCCACTGCCACCGGAACACCATTTCTGTACTGGTGAGATGCTACCAGAACACACATGACGTCATCGATCGGCCACGTTCTGGACGTCCACGTGTAACAACGCCAAGACAGGACATATGGATAAGGGTGACCCATCTTCGCCACAGGTTTCAGACTGCAGTGATGACTGCCCGAACCATCCCAGGACTTCGCCGTGTCCACCCCAACACAGTTCGACAACGTTTACGTCATCACGGGATCAGACCACGACGTCCCGCCATACGGCCTATCCTGACACAACGTCATCGACAAGCTCGCCGAATGTGGTGCCGAAATCATGTCCGCAGACCCTTGTTTTGGTGGAGAAATGTTGTTTTTACAGATGAGTCCAGGTTTAACATTTCCCATAGTGATGGACGTCAACGTGCCTATAGGCGCGTGAGAGAACGTTATGCACAGGCCTGTGTCTTGGAGAGGAAACGCTTTGGTGGTGGTTCCGTGATGATTTGGGGTGGAATAACAGCACGCCAAAGAACTCTTTTGGTGATTGTTCAGGGCAACTTAACTGGTGTGGGCTACAGGGATTAGATTCTTCGACCTGTGCCAGTTCCTTTTCTGCAACGTCATGGCCCTGGGTTAACATTCTAACAGGACAATGCCCGCCCTCATACGGCAAGGGTTGCTATGGATTTCTTGCAACTCCACAACGTTGACTTACTGCCTTGGCCTGCAAATTCACCGGATCTCTCCCCGATAGAGCATGTTTGGGACGAGATGGATCGACGTCTACGCCGTCTTCCTCATCCGCCAGATAACGTCCTTGACCTTGCAACAGAACTTGAGAGAATCTGGCGTGACATCCCACAAGCCTTCCTTGCACGTTTGATAGGCTCTATGCGTCGTCGATGCACTGCTGTTCTCAATGCCGATGGTGGACATACCCGTTATTGAGCTTGTGACATGGTCGTTTGACTCCTGTCCCGCTTGTGGACTCGTGACGTCATTGTGATTGACTTTTCAATTGAAATTCTCCCGACTTGTTATGGTCTCATGATCCCTCCATTAAAGTTTATATGTACCTTTGACATTGTTATCGTACTTATCAACTGGGATAATATTTTGACAATGCACAGTTTATTTATGTGGCTAGTATATGTGTATGCATGTATGTATGTGTGTATATATATAATTCACTATAGAGGGAGCTGGATTGTACCCCTATAGAAAGCCTCTAAACCTGACAAATGACTGAACAGCACACCGTAAGGTATGAACACAAATGCCAAATGCCAATTGAAAAACACCAGCGTTACATTTTCCTGACACATTGATACACGTGGAACTGAGGTCAGATAAATTGAAGATACCAACACAGACACTCACGTCCATGCTCTGGACCAGACAAAATGGATTCGTTGCCTTGGGAACCACAGCATAGCCTCTCTGTATGCCCCACCTGAGGATCACCTGGTGTACAGAAAACGTTTAGTTCAGTAGTCCACCGCAAACGACAAAATATCCTCTTTAGAATATAGGGGAACTTCATTTGTAATTTGCGATTGAAAATATTGGGAGATGTATGGGAGTCAATCAATGTTGATATGATAATAATGAATGTTTTGAGAGTGCATCACTGCTTGCACTTCCACATAACCATGGTTGTTTGTACAGTAATCGCTCTTGAAAGATGATGGCTGTATGACGTGAAATTTGCATGTGTAGGCGGTCTATAAATAATCGAGTCCGCACCAGACAATCCAGGGATCAACATCACGAGCCTCGATCTACGTAATTGGGATACAATGACATGTGTCAATCAAGTCAGCGAGCCTGGCCACCCGATCCCGTTAGTCACCTCTTACAACAAGCATGGGTTGTTGAAGACCAATTCTAATCCGCATTGTAACGGGTCTCCAAGTAATGGTAAAAGTTCGAGCCAAAGTCGCCTAACGTTGACAAACGACGTGCCGTATTTCGTGAGATTCTCTTACTTTCTGCCAAGCATGGGTTACTGAAGACCAATTCTAACCCGGATCTTAACGGGTAGAAACAGTGGGACCAATAGTACATAGTTGAAACAAAATCTATCAAGGGAAACATTATGATCAGTAGTGCATAGTTAGTAACAAAATCTATCAAGGGAAACATTATGATCAGTAGTGCATAGTTAGTTGAAACAAAATCTATCAAGGGAAACATTATGATCAGTAGTGCATAGTTAGTAACAACATCTATCACAGACTGTGGGAGGGATGTCTGCAGGGGGTTGAACACCTTATGCAACCGCCCCTGTACAGAAAATAACAGGGCAGAAACCTACCTGTGCGGCTGATTTTCCGTATTTATTTGCGATAGTAGCAATTGTTGGATGTTCCTGGCAGCTGTGCGATTCCATGGGCATTCTGCAACAGAAATCTGCAGACTGTGTAACGGCATTATTATAGAATATAAAATTGGTTACGCATAAAATAACACTTTGTGTGCGTGCGTGCGTGCGTGCGTGCGTGCGTGCGTGAGTCCATGCGTGCCTGATCCATAACAGACACCCAGTCATACAATCTTACAAAGCGGTGTCTAGAATGTCAGTATACAGGTCGTTTTCTTTAGCCCTGCTAAATGTTTAGGTTTATCAGATAATGTCAGCTTTATGTGAATGTGATTCCCATCATGGCATAGATTAGAACCCATATTCCTGGCATGCACAAGGGACGCTACTCGGCACATCGAATCTTGCCGTGTTACACGACTAGATTACCCACGACAGCAATCTTATTCAAATCTACAGCAGCTCGGTTTTGTTAATTTGCATGATTTCGATGTAAATGACGAGTCTCACTTTGCTTGTCCTGGAGTCGCAAATGGCTCACAGCCAGTAGTGGAGATGCCGTTTTGCAAGGAGAACTGTAGAAGCTCGTCCTGGGACAGAGACGGAGTTATCTCCATCTGAAACCAGTCAACAGATCGAAAATATATTTCCCTATTTGGGGCAAAATTTCTATTCATGGATTTTGTTGAATCCTAACGTCTTCTACCTGGTTGTTCGCAGGCTTGTACTTGAGACCGTCCATTTTGAGAATCCTCTCCAGTTGGTGTTTATTGAAGTTGGAGACGCCGACAGACCTGACAAGGCCCTTGTCCACCAGCTTCTCCATGGCCTGTTGGGGTGGAAAGAAAATACTCAGGTGGAACCTGAACATACAAACAATGTCAGTTGTCTATCATTGTTTCTAGAAAACAGCATGGTATAAGTATCATACCAAATGATGTCATACATGAGCCCAGTATGTTAACTGGTGTAGAATCCACCAAAAGGGTCACAATGTGCAATACCTTAGTAAACTAGTTTAAACGTTTAGGGCATCTCTAAAGCGTCAGTGACCTTAGGAAGATGTTGCTTCTATTTTCGCAATACAGTCAAGATCTGCTTGATGGACAAACTAGGATAGCATTGTTATGTTCAGGTGGGCAAAACATCAGAAAATAAACATAAAATACCTTACAAAGTATCATGGAATGTACATCAAGTTGTATTTTGCTGGCTGGAAATATACACGATTTGAAAAGTATCGCGTGTTACGGTTTATTGTTTCTCCCTGAGTAGAGTAGAGCCACCTACCCTCCAAGTGTCCAGGAAGTCGGTTGTAGTCAACTTGGTTCGCTCCTTGTCCTGGGGAAACACACACATGTCCACACATAATACGGAAAAACTACAATAGACAGTGTCATAATATCGATGGGTGACAATTTTGTGCAGCATAGATGCTCATTATGGTAGTTGGTGTTTATTGAAGTTGGAGACGCCGACAGACCTGACAAGGCCCTTGTCCACCAGCTTCTCCATGGCCTGTTGGGGTGGAAAGAAAATACTCAGGTGGAACCTGAACATACAAACAATGTCAGTTGTCTATCATTGTTTCTAGAAAACAGCATGGTATAAGTATCATACCAAATGATGTCATACATGAGCCCAGTATGTTAACTGGTGTAGAATCCACCAAAAGGGTCACAATGTGCAATACCTTAGTAAACCAGTTTAAACGTTTAGGGCATCTCTAAAGCGTCAGTGACCTTAGGAAGATGTTGCTTCTATTTTCGCAATACAGTCAAGATCTGCTTGATGGACAAACTAGGATAGCATTGTTATGTTCAGGTGGGCAAAACATCAGAAAATAAACATAGAATACCTTACAAAGTATCATGGAATGTACATCAAGTTGTATTTTGCTGGCTGGAAATATACACGATTTGAAAAGTATCGCTTGTTACGGTTTATTGTTTCTCCCTGAGTAGAGTAGAGCCACCTACCCTCCAAGTGTCCAGGAAGTCGGTTGTAGTCAACTTGGTTCGCTCCTTGTCCTGGGGAAACACACACATGTCCACACATAATACGGAAAAACTACAATAGACAGTGTCATAATATCGATGGGTGACAATTTTGGGGAAACAGTAAGCACCACATAAGCACCAGATGATAGCGGCCATTATACCATCTGGTTACAGTAAGCACCGGACGTTAGAAGCCATTATGCCATCTGGTTACAGTAAGCACCGGATGATAGCGGCCATTATGCCATCTGGTTACAGTAAGCACCGGACGTTAGAAGCCATTATGCCATCTGGTTACAGTAAGCACCAGAAGCATAAGCACCGGACGTTAGAAGCTATTATGCCATCTGGTTACAGTAAGCACCGGATGATAGCGGCAATTATACCATCTGGTTACAGTAAGCACCGGACGTTAGAAGCCATTATGCCATCTGGTTACAGTAAGCACCGGATGATAGCGGCCATTATGCCATCTAGTTACAGTAAGCACCGGACGTTAGAAGCCATTATGCCATCTGGTTATAAGTCCGTTACACTATCACATCATCAACGGCATGGGCAATCTTGAATCTGATGCCTGTGATTTGCCAGCCGCTTCACTGCGAATGCCAATCTACATGCAATTATGAAATATTACCACACTCTTGATATGTGCACCGACGATGCCTTGAAGTGTCAGGTGACTGACGACAACAAACTCTTATATCATACGACGCGAAATTCATTACTACTAAGCAGCTATTGTATCAGCTTAGAGGTATGTTAGACAATATTCGAGTGAGTGAGTTTCATCTAAGGCCATAAGAATTTCAGCCATATTCTGACAATATTCGATGACTAAATTGATATTTAGCGAGCGAACAATCAGTCTCGATAAATCGCTAAGGTAACAGATTGCGAGTTAAAAAAAAGCAGTGAAAAACGCGTGACAGAGTCACCGAGTACCAACACCCAAACAAGTGTGTAGAGAAATCAGCCCAATAGTGCCTGTAAGTAGGTCACGGCACTTCGGGAGGCGTTGTTTAGTCCTCACTGTGACAAACACGTTTCATACCTTCACGAATGGTCTCATGGTTGTCAGTTGACAGTAAGGAACCGATAATCATCTCAGAAATAACAAATTTCCGATCTAACCATCCCCAAATTAGCAAACTATTACGACTGTCAACAGCTGTGACGGCCAAGCATGGTTGTACACTTGGTCCGGTCTTGTAAAGTCATTTTTGGCGGTCGCGCAATTTGGAATCAGAACTGGTTATTGAATATACGCTTGTCACCGGAAATCTTGTACCGGATGTAAGCGACCGCCTCTGTGGTGTAGTGGTTAGAGCGTCCGCCCGGAGAGCGGAAGGTCGCGGGTTCGATCCCCGACCGCGTCATACCAAAAGACGTTAAAATATGGTACTTGTTGGTCCCTGCCTGGCGCTCGGCATAAATGGGTACAACAAGGACTGGTCGGCTCGGAGTCAGTATATTGTGTCTGAGTGGGCTATTCATGCTTCACTGCGGCATGGTATCTCAGTGGGCTAGCACTATAAAACCAGCTTAAGTATGGGCTATTTCACCTCACCTCACCTCACCTCACCTCACCTCACCTCACCTCACCTCACCTCATCGGATGTAAGCCGGGCTCCGTCTTGCATATAGCAAACTGGCGCGCGCAAAGTGAGCCGGGAACCAGCTGAGTACCGGAAGTAGAGCCTCGCGAGACTTACAGGCCCTATATTTCAAAACTGGCAACTATATGAAGACAACAGGCAAGTACAGTTGTTGAAACATCACATACTCAATCCTGTCAAAAAATTAGACTACAATTTACACAAAGGAAAGAGTTCTTGACTCACTGTTAGGACCATGGGAAACTGTAACAGATAGAGATCGATATAATCCATGTTCAGGGCCTCCAGTGACATTCGGCACTCTGGCTCGACTTGCTCCGGTTCGTGACAGTGGCAGAAAATCTGTAATTGTAACTTAAAGCTACATGTATGCGAATGTAGCCACAACTAGGACGGCGTGACTGATATGTGTTTATGCTGATGTGAACAGTATTTCATGATTACACAGATGCCTTTCAAAATGGGTATCTATAATATAATATCATATAGGGGATTACGCATTTGCCTAAACTATTCTTCTGTGTATGTCGGGGATGTTACAAACAGGATTCGAACCTACACCTTCAGCACACTAGGTCTGCGATCTAATCCACATAGACACGGGGCTTCAAAACAAGTGAGATAACTGGTAGTCAATATCACGAATTGTGTGTACCCCTCTGACAAGTTAATTGGTCGTCTGAGTGTGTGGATTCGAATTCCGGATAGGACTCAACCGCAAAAAGTACAAGATTTTACAAGCTGGCAACGTCATGAAATCATGTCCCTAATCAATTTGATAATTGCACAAAGAAGAACATCCTGCATACATATTGCTATAATTCTACATTACTTGACATCTTGCAGCATATTGCCTGGACGTCCTACCTTCGCCACAATGAAAAGCTCTTCCCGCTTTATCCTTCCATCGTTGATCAGTTGTATAATAATGTCTCCTATTTCCTGCTGTGTTTCGTGGACCGAGGTGGTGTCGATGTAGCGGTACCCTATCTGTATGGCCGTCCTCACAAGATTCCCAACCTCGCTGACCTGACACAATCAACATAATACTTCATTCACATTACTTCGACATTCAGCAACAGAAATTAGGAAATAACAATGTCATCATTTGTATTCTAATTTCAAGACATTACAGGACCGGCGGGGTAGCCTAGTAGTTAGAGCGCCGAAGACCCGGGTTCGATTCCCCACATGAGTACAATGTGAGAAGCCCATTTCTGGTATCCCCCGTCGTGATATTGCTGGAATATTGCTAAAGGCGGCGTAAAACTAAACTCACTTGCTCACTCCAGATATTACATACTGAAACAGAAAGGTAAGTAGTCATTAATATTCTGTAAGATATGTTGTTTTGAAAATGAAACATAATGAATATTTATATCATTGAGTGATCAGTGTTCCCTACAAAAAATCCCCATAATATTCATGATACCTAACTGTTTGTGTCCAGTATATATATTCTAACTAGTGTCTGTGTCTCCATGTATTACTTATACATCCAGTTTGTGTTTACTGGATCTTTTCTGAACATTTAGGAGGTAAACATACTGTCTTGGAACATGATTATATACTTCTGAATGACTATAATTAACCAATCACAATCCAGTATTTACTGAAGTCATGGTAGAATTGCCACTATTGACGTTATTGATAAGGACGTTGATGACTGTCCCTCTTACTATATTGACCCACTGAGATTAAGCAGAGATAACGTCCTGAACTATGTAGAACATCTTAGTATGAATGGCATACTGTTTGAAGATAAGCAAGGTCAGTTCACATGTGTGACCCACAATGGCGAAGTGTTGTTGGTTTTATCATTGCCAACCGTTTGATCTTGCCATATGATTTTTCAAAATGTTTTATACTGTTGAGCATGATGTATTACCGACAAGACTTAAATGAGGGCATAAATGGGAAAATCTTTCATATTATTTCATCAATGTATTCAAAGCTATCGGACTGTGTAAGAACTGCGAATGGATTGTCTAATTACTACAGGTGTAATGTTGGTAGCCAAGGCTGCATATTGAGTCCACAGCTGTTTATTATCTTTATCAATCAGCTTGTTAGCATGATGGGAGCATATCGTAGACAGGTATTATGTATCTCCTGATGCAAATGCCCTATTTACTCTAATATGTGTGGATGATGTTTCAGTAGTGGCTAATACTACTGAATCTTCAATTAACTGGTATAGAAAAAGATAAATGTTATGTTGTTTCCACTGGTATTTTCGTTGCCAAAGGTTTGAGGTTGTGTTATTTCATAAATATTTAGGTTTAGTATTTTCACCGTAATTTGGGCAAAAGATAATTCATGAATTGCATCATCAGCAAATAAAACATTTATGGCAACGTAAAGGTATCGAAAGACCGTAGATCATATAAATTGTACTGAACATTCAGTATTTCTACTGCACTGATAAGACCAACAGTGGGTCAGAAATGTGGAACATAAAATACCATAGAACGGTTGAAAATGTTCAGATAAAAGTTGCAAAAAATTACTGAAGGTTAGTATGAGTACAATAATTTGGTCCTTGGTGAATGTGGTAGAGCTCCACTTCAGCTGGCATACATGCCAGGGGAAGCTAAGTAGTGGTGCAGATTAAATACTCTTGATAGAAATATGCTATCTCACAATGCTATTTAATGTTAAAGTCTTTTCATGACGCTGGGAGGGTCACATTGGCTCCACATGTCAAACATGTTCAATTTCAGTTTGGGTTTTGTTTCACATGGATAAGCTAAAATTTTGGGAATACTGCAACTTTTATCAGATTATCTAAAACCAGACTTTTCACATTCCTAAACAATATTGGTGTTCCTCACTGCACACTTCTCATAAATGTTCCAACGAGATTTTATGTAAGACAGTTTTACAAATGGAAACATATCCGTGGATTGATATTCCACTACATCTGAGAATATGTTTTACAGCAATAAGATGAGGCAATATTAGACTGATGACAGAGACAATAATGCACTTAATGTACAAAAAAGATGAAACTCATATTTTGCTTGTATTGATGCATATACATCTAGCAAAATGATGTATGTTAGTTAATATGTCAGAATTGGCAGCGCATTAAACACTTGTGTAATTATAATTAACACTCAAGAAATACAGAATTTATGTGCAAAAGACAAGAAATAGGGTTAATAGCATTTGATAGACCAATTTTAATGAATACTATATTTCCATGCATGTATTTGTCAACCTTATGCTAAAATTACACATTATATTCTCAACTTCAACCTTCTGGTAGGTGTTAATTACAGCCCTCAGAAAAGTAACTGCTACAGGTCTGCATTTTGGGCCATATGCGTCTTTATCTACTAAATTGTCTTGTCTATTCGGAATACTGTATTGAGTAGGATATTGGGTCCATTTTGTAACAGTTCAAGCTAAGATAATCCAAAAACACCACAAACCTTGGAACAGTTGTTCGTTCCCAACCCAAGCATAGGCATGTTGTAACTGCTCCTCAGACGCATTCTGGGTATTCGGTCCGCCATTATCTGAAAGATATCGCAACAGTAGCATAAAAAGATAATCACATGGTAGCCATGATAACAATGTCATCTTGCAACAGCCCCCCGTATAGCAAAATAATATCATCTTCTCTGAATTATTTTAATTACATCTGTCATTAACGTAAACCATATGGGACAATATGAACGTCGCATTTCTACTACCAACGTAAGTTTAGATCAGTACATCCAGATGAAGCTGAGTTGTCAAGCGACATTCCACGATTGCATTGTGGGAATGTAAACATCGCGAACGTTACCGTGTCGCTGAAAACTTGTGAGTCGAATTGACACATTTTAACCGTCGTAAAACATAAACGTAATGTTTCCACCAGTGTTGTTAGCTGCGTGAAGCAACTGCAAACCAAGAAACGGGGTGCAACGGAGTAGTTTACTGTAGGAGGCCGTAAGAGGCGATGACAACTGACATGCATCGTGACGTCGCTTACATTGTGACGTAATGTAAAATGGTTCGATTACGAGGGGTACACTAGAATGGTGCAGTGACGGGATAACGTCATTCAATTGTTACGTCATCAAAAAACTATACCTTTATTGTCTGATAATGTTTGTTTTTTCGATTGTTCTAACCGCTAAGCATCTTAGAAGTGTCTTTAGTATGAGTGTGAAGAAAGATTGTTATCCATATGTAGGGTGTAGTAACTGCTGTAAATGCTGCCTGGTCAGATAAGGTATAATATATGACGTCAGTGGGTTGCGCTGTAGGGAACAGTAGATATGACGTCATCGTTTGACGTTAGCTTATCTTACTTCAGTGAAGTGTTATTTAGCGGCCTTCACACGGTAAACTAAAGTTTGACAACACATGTTGTTAAAATTCTAAAAGTTGTCAAACTCACGTCTTCACACGTCAAACACATGTTGTCAAATTTTCGTGACATTTGAGCGATGCCATTTTGTAGGTCGAGTTGACCAGACCACTAAAACATCACGTGACAAGTTCGTTGACTGCAATTGGTTGCTTCTGAACAACACGAGTTTGACAACACTTCACATGTCAAACTCGAGTTTTACAACACGGAATGTTTGATGGAAAAGTTGGTGATAATAGACGCCGATTCTATTTCTCGACAACAGTTTGACAACTCTGAAATTGGTGTTGGTGGCGAGTTGGTGGAATGTTCACACTCTCAAACTCGAGTTGTCAAACTTTAAGTTTGCCGTGCTAAGGCCGCTTTAGATATCAGAGGATTGGGATGAGGTTTTATATGGCTTGTGGTACGCAAGAAGGCCTACGAGAGTTACGTCCCTTTGTAAAGAGAGTTCGTTCTTGAGCACACATTGTAGAATGTTTGATTATGTAACCTTGGTTGTAGGTATGTGTATATGTACATATATTCTGGATTGTGATGTCACATACATATGTTGTCATGGTGAACAGTAAGGCAACTGTTACAGTATTAACAGGATTTATACACTCGGGGCGGATAACTCATCAATCATGGGTTAGGGAGACAACTGAGTGTGCTTTCAAAAGTTATTGATGATATATATTTTTTTATATATTTCCGCACATCACAAACTCAGTTATAGATATGCCGGGTGACCGACAGAAAAGTAATATGTACCAAAACAGATTCAACGGGCGAAAAGTTACAAAATGATGAAAATTACAATGATGATTAATAATTAGCGATGGCACCGGGTGTTCACTAAGTTAAGAGATCACGTGGGTAACATCTATATTTCGATAGAGCATGTCTAAATATTTGAACATTAATAGCAAACAATTGCTGCTGTGCATTAATATATGTAGTTAAAGTTTTCATAATACAGGAATTTATCACATGATCATAATAGGTTTTACAAGTACACGTGTTATAACTTTTCTATGAATGAGTTAAAATGTGAATTAGACACATAGCTACATTTAAATAATAGTTGTCTTGCGTTTGTAACCAATTTTCTTAATCGTAAATCAACATTATATCAAAACAAACCTTTGCATACCTCACGAGTGACAACTGTAATTGGTAAACAATATTTTATTCCCTTAATATTTGTGAAAGAGAACGCACAACTGAACGACTGGGGCAGGCTGACACGACACGAGAAGAGGCCATTGAGGTTAATCCCGAATATAGTCTTGCTCCAACACGTTTCATCAGCTTCGAATACCTGTACACGTATTACAAGACTATTCCTGGACATGGGATGCATGTGTACACTGCGCATGTCAGGTTGTTGTCAGTGACTGAGTCCCAGTGTTCAGACTCCCCCGACATGACATCACCTACACCGAGCTACGTGCACGGCGGCACGGACACAAGGTGTAGGACCTTCCAACGTGTGCACAGTACGATCAATAGAGAAACGCTGTCACGGTGCAAAATAGTGTATCAAAAACAAGACTTTATGAAAAAGCATTGATTAAATGTGCGTTTACTTTACCGTTTCACGTTTGTAAATGCAACAAAAAATGACGGACGTCGTGTCTACTGCACCATCGGCATATCAGATGTAATCTATTGTACATAAAATGTTGTAAATCTCATGTGGAGTTCAAACTGTCACACACCTTTTTCTGTTATGCTCGTAGTAAACAGAATGCACTGTAATATACACGTGGCAAGGCAAATTGCTTTACATGTCAATATGTTTCAGTACTACATTGTATAGGCTGATCTTTAAATTGTGAGGCTATCATTTTAAACGCACAAATCCCGAAGCACCTAGTGATGTAGTTAAAGTATATGTTGGCCCTTACTAGAGATAGGATTTATGTCTATACATCCATTGCTAGAGACATGATGTTAATGCCCCCCATCTATAGACATGGTACACCAAGCGACAGACATATAACAGAGATGTGCCCTTCTACAGACAATGTTTAGAGACACCCTTTGATAAACATTTTATACAACCCTTTTATACAACCCTTCTACAGACAATGTTAATAGACATTTTATACAACTGCTAAAGACAAGGTTTATGTAGACGTTTGTATTATTTAACTCCTGCTAGAGGCGTGGTAAATATATATTTTATGTAGCCCAATATGCATATTAAATAACAATCTATAATGTGATGTAATTCAGTTTCTGCTGCACTTACTGAAACAAGCGACCTACCTTGGACGGCCACACAGAGCGAAGGGTGTCAGGTGTTATTTTTCACGCTACGTGCTATACAGGTAAATCCGGGATAACACTGACTTTTTTAATCGTTGTATATTCAATAGTAAAGGAAGTGCTGTGTATGCACATGTCTCTTACCTTTAAGCTGTAGACCCAGATTTGCTCCGTCGATTGGTCAGTTGTTGAATGACATGGAATGCCACGTGACATATCTCGCTTAAAATCGTTCATGTCAGAGTTAAAGGTTAGACTAACGCTTAGTCCTGAATATAGAAAATAAAATCCCTATTAAATTTAAAAGGAGCCTAGGTGAGAAGTTAGCTTGAACCTGAGGAAATCTAGACTTGCTTCATTTTGGAGCTTTAGCATTGCAGAATGTTCTTGGCGGATGTTAAAAAAATGCGGTTCAGGGACTTAGACTGACTAAGGGAAAGGCATGTATCCGTGTGTTTGTGTGTGATGTGACTTAGATGGTAGAGGGGTGGGTGGGGGTTTGGCTCCCGATGCCATTGAGAGGGTTGAGAAACAAGGGTGCTTCATGTTAAGATATTTCAGATTTTCCCCACCCAAAAATAGAAAGTTAACTTAGTTTGCCCGCAAACGAAAAAGATGGATCCTTATTGTGCATTATGACTCAGCCGTTTTACACAGAGGTGATCTCACTGCACCGTACTACACAGGTACTGGTCTTCAGCCATCCATGCCTGTCGTGAGAGGCGACTAACGGGATCTGGTGGTCGGGCTCGCTGACTTGGTTGACACATGTCATCGTATCCCAATTGCGTAGATCATGTCAGTCTCTGAATTGTCTGGACCGCCGTCATATAGCTGCAACATTGCTACATGCAGCGCCAAACAAAGACATTATTAACGCTGACAACTAGGTAATGGTTTAATGCAAATTTCGACCTTTTGGGGTGAAGTCGGTGCGCTTGCTATCAACAACTAGTTTGTATTGTATAAACAAGATAACGCACCTCCGCCTTGACACAGACTGCGGCAGTTTACGTTCACTGCGCATACGTAACTACAAATAAACTAAGTGCTGCAAGGTTTGAGGGTCATTCAAGTTTTAGAGCTTTGGTTCGCTTATGGGAACAATATGTGAACAGCATAGCTTTCGTGAAGACAATAACAACTGGCACTGTTTTCCATGCATCAAAGGGTTTATCTTGTTCTTATCTACACCATACTGGAAATCTCATGACCTATATAATCTTTACCTTCACCTTGGAGCCGACAAGGTCAGTGTGGATAACAGAATAATTTATATCAAAACACTTACAGGCAAAATATTTTGTCAAAGTGTCATCGCAACAATCGTCAACGTGTGTACGTTCTACCTTGAACTTAATATGATAAATAAGAGTTATCCCGCTTACGTCAAGGTCACAGTCGTGGACATATAATTTTCGCTCTATAAGATGTCGATATAGTCGATCTGAAATTTATGTATTGCTGAAATGAATAATTAACTATCGAATTTTGAGGCTTGCTTAAATTGAACCTATAACTTGTCAGATATTGTTGCGGATGTATATTTTCAGATTTAGAGACGTATTTGTCAAATTTGTGCTTTTGTTGCATCTATCATGACACAAACCATAGCCATTTTCAACAGTTACTCTGTTCAGTAACACCATGCACTGAACATGTGTAACTTGGCTAACGTGAGGTAGTAAAGGGAACACTCCATTGGTGACAATACTGGACAAGCGTCACTACTGCACCGTACGTTTTCGGGGATGGTGAAACCGCACACCCCGGAAGTATACTATTCAGAAAAAGTAAGATCATGATTAAGATTACTCACTTCACAACGTATTATCACACAAACTTACCAATTTCCTGTGGTGTAGCCAAATGGTTGAGGTGTTCGCTCGTAAAGCCGAAAACCCGGTTCGATACCCCACATGGGTTCAATGCGTGAAGCCCATTTCTTGTGTTCCCCGCCGTGATATTTGCTGGAATATTACTAAAAGCTGCGTACAACTGAACACACTCACTCACACTCACCAATTTCGTGCAGGCGTTTTTCATGATATGCGTCTCAGCATGGTCGGGATAAATTCGAAACTTACAGTGAAACGCGTCAGTGTGTTCTGAACATTTCAGTAATATAGAGCAGAAACTGTTTCTGATATTGTTTTAAACTCAATTAAACGGGGTCAGGCTTCGTGTATTGGCATGTTTGAAGTTGGAACATGACAGAGCATTTTGGCTCCAGCTCGTATCGTTTCACATTCAATAATTAGCAGGTTTCAGTCGCGATATCGACAAACAATAACATTGACCACAGACGTCGATCTGGTCAACCAAAGTCAAAGTGCCTCTCAGAGATTAGCTTCACAGAGTTTAAGGTGAAAAGGTGAGTGGACAGACGATTCTGAAAACAGCTGCACAGATGGACCCTGCATGCCCGACGTCATGGACCCTGCATGCCCGACGTCCACGACGGACCGTCACATCACTGTAACACGTCGTTGGTGTCAAAAGCGGCAACGCCGAACCCACCGTGGTTGGGCAATCGTTGTTTTCGGATGAATCACTTCGGACTCCCGGGACAGGCACAACAGTGAGTGAGTGAGTTTAGTTTTACGCCGCACGCAGCAATATTCCAGCTATATGGCGGCGGTATGTAAATAATCGAGTCTGGACCAGACAATCCAGTGATCAGCTGCACGAGCATCGATCTGCGCAATTGGGAACGGATGACATGTGTCAACCAAGTCAGCAAGCCTGACCACCCGATCCCGTTAGTTGCCTCTTACGACAAGCATAGTTGCCTTTTGTGGCAAGCATGGGTTGCTGAAGACCTATTCTACCCCGGATCTTCACGGGTCATAGGCACAACAGACTATGCCGTAAACGTTAGTCAGAACAATCGTTTGGGGAGTCTGGATACAGGTGTGAGGTTTGATCACTGTGATTGGCAGAATACAGGCGGATCCACGCAATATTTCCGATTTTAACTTGTTCATGGCTAACGACGTTCAGGACAGCTGGGCGCTTTGGACAATCATCTAACCGAATCGTCGGGCACCTGCATTCAACGGGTATTGCAAATGTCAGATGTCCCTGTTAAACTATTTATATTATTAAAGATATAGAAAGTGAAGAGTTGTGAGACCATTTTAATGACTATACCCTACATTTTAACAGTGTGTTTCCGGTGCAAACAAACATTGTTGACAGCTGTCTATATCAGACTGGTTCCCTAGAATGAAGGTGATGGTGTGGTTTTCAAGCGATTTTCTGACCCGCAGTGTTTGTTTGGCCTATGCAACGATTTAAAACATGTACCACGCTGTCATTATCATTGACTTCCTTATTTCGTTTTGTCATGGATGGGATTTACCATGACGTCATAAAATTTATATATAGCTCATTTCTTCACATGTGGCGCGAGACTACCAATTTTCAGAAAGAAATTCACCAGAAAATGTTAGTTCTGCAGTAAGTGACCTTAAAATGATCACATCAATAATTAAAGCACATAACAACACTTCTCGAAAATTGTCAACACCACCATGCGTGACTGCTAGTTTTGACCCACTTACAATTGAGTCCTCAGGAAACGCAAGTGACTAATATTAGATACAATATGGCGACGGGAGGGGACGCGGTTGAAAGTATCCCTGTGTCGCCCGGGAAAGAATATCATTTTTGTATCTTATACAATTACGATTCCGATCCCCCAGATGACATTGAAAAGTCTTTAAAAGTTGTTAAAAAGATCACAACTACACTGGCATCTATCGGGCTCCGTGCTTCGTACTATTATGACCGGGATTGCTTGCCGGGTTTGAATGTATTCCAGGAACTATTCCGGGTGGTTGAAGCGTCCGAGTACATCATCGTCGTCCTTACCCCAGGGTTTATACTGGATAGTTGGAATCGATATACACAACAGGCCACATTTAAGGAGCTTCTGGAGAGGGGCATTTCTCATCGGTTACTTCCGTTATGTTTCGGACTGAACCAGAATTTACGAGTGCCTGTAGAGCTGACCACACAAGCACCTCTGGAGTTTTCTGATGACTGGGAGAATGACGAGGCATCATGGCAAAAGTTGAGAAGAGTGTTCACTAAACACAGACCAATAGCTAACGTCAGCATGCATGCAACGAATCAAGGAAATACCCTGTGGAAGGTGAGTTCAAACTTTGGTCTCAATTTCGACTTTAGTTTTCAGAAAATATTCACATGTCTTAGGTTTTTACCATTCTCCCACAATGAAATACTTTCCAGAGTTACATAAAAATGACTGACATGCGTATGTTGTCTCAATGTAACTGCCATTGCTAAAGCGAAACTACAACGCGAACCTTTCATGAGTTGCCTCCCTTTGATATCCAGGCTTTCGCCAATTTCTATAATCTACATCACCGAACTCTAAACCTTACTCTGGATGGCGCTGTGCTCAGGGGCACACTACAATTCAATATTCCAGAAACCGATTCTTCAACTAAATAACAACATCACTAAATCCAGAATCGTCTGAACCAACGGGTTTCATTGAATCTTGTTACTGCGATTCAGAAACCAACCAAAATGGAGGCCAGCAAGCTGAAGACAATGATCCCCCAGCCTCTGTACATAATCCGATCATCCCACAGGATGAAGGTGAGTGTGCCTTTTCTTCGTTGATGTCATTCTTAAATACGATAGGCAATGAACACCATGTTTCTTGGGTGGGTGCTCCCGCTAGAGCAGGGAATGTTTACCCCTTTCACGAGCACCTGTTATCATCGCTAATGTTCGGCGATCCATTCATGTAATATTCTGGGTCTAGGCTAACTGCCCCCCGGACAACTGCCCCCGACAACTGCCCCTGGATATCTGCCCCCGTCCATTGCGCCCACACACACACACAACTGCCTCCTGGGTTTATTGCCCCCCGGACAACTGCCCCCTATCAAAACAAAAAACACACAAACTGAAAGTAATAGTTTTAAATTTTTAATTTACAGCACTAAGTTATACAACACAACATATAAATCATGAAAATTCACTTAGACCTCATTTTTGAGAAAGTTACATTTAATGGCATTTCTCACTTTAGCCACTTCTGCTTCTTACACTGACTGTCTCCTCTTCACACATTCATAAGAGTTAACTCCACCTTGTAACTCTTTCTGGTGGACATACAAGAATCCCTCTAAAGCTAACTTTTCATTCCCTCTCTGACTTGGAATCCACTCCATGGGGATCACCTTGTCCGAGGGGCAATTAGCCTAGGGGCAGTTGATACCAATATTCTGTACCCACTCTTTTGCCTTTTCGCCCAGATGTTGAGTATTCTCTGGTGCAAATCTATTCCTAGCGCTTCTCAGATGTAACGCGTTTTAATACATGCCCCTGACTGATTATGAACGTCGGGTTCAAGGTCAAGGTGTCGTTACAGGAGAGGAATAGAGGAGATGCTTCAAGAAACAAGCCTCGTCCATGATGGAGAGGATCAGGTTCAAGATTGTGTTACGTCGGCAGAAACAGATCAGACAGTTCCAAAGACAATCCTGATCCGTGACGATGAACATCAAGTTCAAGGTCTAGATGGCGGTACAGGGGAGAGAAACAGAAGAGCCACTTCAAGGAACAAGCCCCGTCTATGATGGAGAGGATCAGGTTCAAGATGGCGTTACAGGGAGAGAAACAGAAGAGCCACTTCAAGGAACAAGCCTCGTCCCTGATGGAGAGGATCGGGATCAAGATGGCGTTACAGGGAGAGAAACAGACGAGGCACATCCAGAGACGAACCTGGTCCATGGTGGAGAATATGAAGCTCATAAGGTGCGTTCCAAATTCATAATGAATTTGTCTTTATCTATCTTTTAACTCACTCACTAGTCTGTTCTCGTCAAACTTGTCGTCTGAACAACGCAATTCAACATAGATGTGTCATATTCTGTAGTTACACGCAGGCATCCACATGCGCACGTACACACATACACACAAACACGCACGTACACAACGCACATACACACGAATACCATTGATATGCCATACCGAGAGATGCCCTCATATACAGTGTCTCAAGTCAATAACTTCCTGCAGGCATGTTCCTACATCTTGTAATATAGGTTACAAACGCCAAAGATGCAAATGCCTCTTCTTTACATTTGACCCGTGCAGGTCCGGGTTAGAATATTGATCTTCAGTAACCCATGCTTGTCGTAAGAGGCAACTAACGGGATCGGGTGGTCAGGCTCGCTGACTTGGTTCACATGTCATCGGTTCCCGATTGTGCAGAACGATGCCTCATGTTGTTGATCACTGGATTGTCTGGTCCAGACTCGATTATTTACAGACCACCTCCATATAAGCTGGAATATTGCTGAGTGCGGCGTAAAGCTTAACCCACTCACTCACTCAGTCACTTCTTTACATTTAACACTCAGATGTCATGGTTAACCGGCTGTCCTCAAGGAGGTTCTTCAGCAGATGGAGAGACGATCATCTACTCACGGATGCCCTGACTGATTATGAACATCAGGTTCAAGGTCTAGATGGCGGTACAGGGAGAGAAACAGAAGAGCCACTTCAAGGAACAAGCCTCGTCCCTGATGGAGAGGATCAGGGTTCAAGATGGCGTTAGGGAGAGAAACAGAAGAGCCACTTCAAGGAACAAGCCCCCGTCTATGATGGAGAGGATCAGGTTCAAGATGGCGTTACAGGGAGAGAAACAGAAGAGCACTTCAAGGAACAAGCCCTGTCTATGATGGAGAGGATCAGGTTCAAGATGGCGGTACAGGGAAAGAGAACAGAAGCATTTCTACTTCAAAGGAACAAGCCCTGCCCATGATGGAGAGGATCAGGTCTGCGATGGCGTTACAGGGAGAGGTATCAGAAGAGCTACTTCTGCCAGAACAAGCCCCGCTCCATGATGGAGAGGGGATCAGGTTCAAGATGGCGTTGGTGGAGAGAAACAGAAGAGCCACGCGAACAAAGCCCTGTCTATGATGGAGAGGATCAGGCCCAAGATGGCGAGTACAGGGAGAGAAACAGAAGAGCCACTTCAAGGAACAAGCCCCGTCTATGATGATGGAGAGGATCAGGGTTCAAGATGCAGGTTACAGGGAAGAAACAGAAGAGCCACTTCAAGGAACAACAAGCCCCGTCTAAGATGGAGAGAGGATCGAGGTTCAAGATGGCGGTACAGGAGAGAAACAGAAGAGCCCACTTCAAGGGAACAAGCCCCGTCTCATGATGGAGGATCAGGTCTAAGATGGCGGTACAGGAAACAGAAGAAGAGCCACTTCAAGGAACAAGCCCCGTCTATGATGGAGAGGATCAGGTCTCAAGATGGCTTACAGGGAGAGAAACAGGAAGAGCCACTTCAAGGAACAAGCCCGTCCCTGATGATGGAGAGGATCAGGTTCAAGATGGCGTTACAGGGAGAGAAACAGATTTGAGGCACATCCAGAGACGAACCTGGTCCATGGTAGAGAATATGAAGCTCAGGTGCGTTCCAAATTCATAATGAATTTGTCTTTATCTATCTTTTAACTCACTACACTAGTCTGTTCTCGTCAAACTTGTCGTCTGAACAACGCAATTCAACATAGATGTGTCATATTCTGTAGTTACACGCAGGCATCCACATGCGCACGTACACACACATTACACACAAACACGCACGTACACAACGCACATACACACGAATACTCATTGATATGCCATACTAGAGAGATGCCCTCATATACAGTGTCTCAAGTCAATAACTTCCTGCAGGCATGTTCCTACATCTTGTAATATAGGGTTACAAAACGCCAAAGATGCAAATGCCTCTTCTTTACATTTGACCCTGCAGGTCCGGGTTAGAATATTGATCTTCAGTAACCCATGCTTGTCGTAAGAGGCAACTAACGGGATCGGGTGGTCAGGCTCGCTGACTTGGTTCACATGTCATCGGTTCCCGATTGTGCAGAACGATGCTCATGTTGTTGATCACTGGATTGTCTGGTCCAGACTCGATTATTTACAGACCACCTCCATATAGCTGGAATATTGCTGAGTGCGGCGTAAAGTTTAACCCACTCACTCACTCCAGTCACTCTTCTTTACATTTAACACTAGATGTCATGGTTAACCGGCTGTCTCAAGGAGGTTCTTCAGCAGATGGAGAGACGATCATCTACTCACGGATGCCCCCTGACTGATTATGATGAACATCAGGTTCAAGGTCTAGATGGCGGTACAGGGAGAGAAACAGAAGAGCCACTTCAAGGAACAAGCCTCGTCCCTGATGGAGAGGATCAGGTTCAAGATGGCGTTACAGGAGAGAAACAGAAGAGCCACTTCAAGGAACAAGCCCCGTCTATGATGGAGAGGATCAGGTTCAAGATGGCGTTACAGGGAGAGAAACAGAAGAGCCACTTCAAGGAACAAGCCCCGTCTATGATGGAGAGGATCAGGTTCAAGATGGCGGTACAGGGAGAGAAACAGAAGAGCCACTTCAAGGAACAAGCCCCGTCTATGATGGAGAGGATCAGGTTCAAGATGGCGTTACAGGAGAGAAACAGAAGAGCCACTCTCCAAGGAACAAGCCCCGTCTATGATGGAGAGGATCAGGTTCAAGATGGCGTTACAGGGAGAGAAACAGAAGAGCCCTTCAAGGAACAAGCCCCGTCTATGATGGAGAGGATCAGGTTCAAGATGGCGGTACAGGAGAGAAACAGAAGAGCCACTTCAAGGAACAAGCCCCGTCTATGATGGAGAGGATCAGGTTCAAGATGGCGTTACAGGGAGAGAAACAGAAGAGCCACTTCAAGGAACAAGCCCCGTCTATGATGGAGAGGATCAGGTTCAAGATGGCGTTACAGGGAGAGGAATAGAGGAATGCCACTTCAAGAAACAAGCCCCGTCCATGATGGAGAGGATCAGGTTCAAGATGGCGGTGTTAGGGGGCAGAAACAGATCAGACTGTTCCAAAGAACAATCCTGATCCTATGACGATGAACATCAGGTTCAAAGATGGCGTTACAGGGAGAGAAACAGAAAAGCCACTTCAAGGAACAAGCCTCGTCCCTGATGGAGAGGATCGGGTTCAAGATGGCGTTGCAGGGAGAGAAACAGACGAGGCACATCCAGAGACGAGTCTGACCCATGGTGGAGAATATGAAGCTCAAGGTGCGTTCCAAATTCATAGTGAATAGTAAACATGTTCTTTCTCTATCTTTTAACTCACTCACTAGTCTGTTCTAGTCCAACTTGTCGTCTGAACAACGCAATTCAACATAGATGTGTCATATTCTGTAGTTACACGCAGGCATCCACGTGCGCACGTACACACATACACACAAACACGCATGTACACAACGCACATACACACGAATACCCTTGATATGCCATACTGAGATGCCCTCATATACAGTGTCTCAAGTCAATAACTTCCTGCAGTATCATAAAGATGGTCAGCAAACGATAACTATTGGAGGTGTGTACATGTTGACATCGGTCAGGTCTGACTAGGCAACTGAGTGCCTGTCTGATCCAGGCAGGCGAGATATGTTGACATCAGTCAGATCTGACCAGGCAACTGAGTGCCTGTCTGATCCAGGCAGGCGAGACATGTTGACATCAGTCAGGTCTGACTAGGCAACTGAGTGCCTGTCTGGTCCAGGCAGGCGAGATATGTTGTGTCGGTAAACGATAACTTTTGGAGGTGTGTGTACTGTATATAAACTCTGTTGTGAACCTAGCAATGTGTATTGACTGTAAATGGATGGTGGTCAAGTCCTGTATTTGTTGCTTATGCTTTCATCATCTGGTTTGTCTTGTACAGATCTGCTTATTTACAACCTGTTTGTGGCTTTAGTCTACAATCAAATTGAATCAATCAATCAATCTGTCATTCATTCAAACTCACGTTGAACCGAATTATATATGCATATGTATAGTCACCACCTCTATGTTGTATTTACAACATCTTTTCGTGTGCCTTTTCACAGATTCGCGTGGAACACGGCTTTTGGTGGGATTATTCTTCAGCATGGCAGAAAACCTCTTCATGGCTGACTCGTTGAGTAGGTTTCCTGTGAGGAAGTAACGCATGAACTGCCACATGACTCTACAACCATCCCAATGAAGTGTGTCGTCTCCAGTTATATCTTTCTCTAAATGTGACTGATAAATAGCTACCAAAACACGATTTCCTTGAATAACAAACAAATCAATTCAGTGAATCATGTTGAATGTTGTGCTTGTACACATTTTATCGTTTTTCTTTTGTTTTTTAAAAAAGATATTTAATCCCCGTCATGTTGTGGAATTGTTTTCAGTCAGGTCAATAATGCAAGAATGTTCCAGAAGAGCAGATGAAGGATGGTATGTTCTTGTACATCGAGATATGCCAGATATGTCAGGTTTGAACCAGACAAGTCAGCGGTTGTGTCACCCAGGTAGGCAAAATATGCCGACATCAGTCGTGTCCGAACCACACCACTGAGTGTTTGTATGATTCAGTCAGGTCTGAACCAGACAACTGAGTAGTTGTATGGTCCAGGCAGGCGAGATATGTTGACATCAGTCAGGTCTGAACCAGACAACTGAGTAGTTGTATGATCCGGGCAGGCGAGATATGTTGACATCAGTCAGGTCTGAACCAGACAACTGAGTAGTTGTATGTTCCGGGCAGGCAGGTTCGACCCAGACAACTGAGTAGTTGTGAATGTTCCGGGCAGGCGAGATATGTTGACATCAGTCAGGTCTGAACCAGACAGCTGAGTATTTGTATGATCCGGGCAGGTTGAGATCAGTCAGGTTGACAACATCAGATCAGGATATTTGATGATCACCAGACCCAACTGGAGTAGTTGTATGGTCCGGGCAGGCGAGATATGTTGACATCAGTCAGGTCTGAACCAGACAACTGAGTATTTGTATGATCCGGGCAGGCAGAGATATGTTGGCGAGATAGCTGAGTTGACATCAGGCAGGTCTGAAGTCCAGACAACTGAGAGTAGTTGTATGATCCAGGTCAGGCGAGTAGTTGTATGGAGGCATGTTGACATCAGGTCTGAACCAAACACCTGAGTAGTTGTATGACCCAGACAGGCGATACATTTTGAGGTTGTATTCAACCTAGAATAACTCGAAGTGCTTGCGTAGGTCCCTCAACACCACAAGGGTGTTTGTACTATCTTTCTGGTATTCATTTCATGATATTGTTTGTGTCTATGTAAATACTCACCACATATATACAATGTATACCTGTTTTTGTATAGAAATGAATAAAGGAATTTATAAATCATGTTCGTACATTTACCTTTGGGGATGAGAGAGAGAGAGATAAATGAGAGAGAGAGAGAGAGAGAGAGAGAGAGAGAGAGAGAGAGAGAGAGAATAAATGTCGGTGGCTAAAAATAAGATTGTGTGTCCTGTGTTTATTAATTAACCCACGGTTGGGAAAGATCAGCTATTACTGGTTGTGTATTTCACAGGATAAAGTTGTTTAACCACCTGAAGCCTCACGATCCACTACAGATGGGTTGGGACTTGTTTCGACCACACCCTCGTTTTGTGCGGACATACCATCTTCCATTTGTGTTAAGATCGTTTAGTTGAGCGTCAAAATCGGGTTTCAATCGACTTGCAGAAATAACAATAAAGAATTGGTAGATGTCATGAGTGGTGATCGATAGGCCAATCACCCATGATTATGTTCATATTACGTTTTAATCGATTGCATGCAACGGTAGCGTAGCGATCGGCAAAGCAGGCGGGTGGGGTACACCTAAGGTGTCCAGCCTTGTCATAATGTATTGTACTATGAAGTATTTCGAGTCGGGGGTCATCTCAATATTTTTGTATATTTTCAAAATCTTTAATCCACGCAAAGACATGAGGGCCTGTGGTCCGGACCCGATTATTTACAACCCGCCACCGTGTAGCTGAATTGCCGTTGAACAAAGAAACATAAGTTCTGACCAATATGGGGATTGGGTGTCAGGCAATGAGTAAGTTGGCCAATAGTGTGTGCATTTAACCCGAAAGAACAAGTCTGTTAAAGCAATGACTGGCAGATGCATGTCTGAATCGTTTGTTTTGTATATCTTGGAAATATACTAACAGTAAAGGGGAGACAACCACTTGTCAGAAGGCACTTACGCTTCAGGTAAGGTAAATGATGCTGATATTCACTCATTCAGTATATGTATTCCCCAACTGTAAGAGTTTTTGTTTTCTTGGTGTTAGATAATTTTACAGTGTATTATCACTGTTATCGTAGCTTGTCTCTAACTTTGTGTAATTTTGTAAAACTATAACGGCGGAATTTATGCCCTGTTAAGAATTGTTTACAATGATTATTTTAAACCAGTTGCAATACTCTGCTGACAATTGGATTGTATTCATGCATTTGTCTTATTGTACTTCTATCTGTTGATATTGAATTAACCTAACCGAATTATTTACACATGTACACAGACACTGAATATTGAATCTTGAATCTTGAAATACCCTGATTGTGGAACCGTTAAAAATGTTTACAATGATTGGTTTGTCTACACCAAACCTGTTTACTAGAAGCTGTGAAAAAGAATTGGAATGTAGCTATCTATGACGTTATAGTGATTGTTATCCGAGGCTGTGTCCTATCATGTACAAGGATCATAGACATGAAGCCACAGTTTGGCTGCTCATTGGGAACCCTCTTCTAAACATGATGGGAATATATGGTCAGTATTTTATTGAGAAGGACGGCATCGCGTATTGATGTACACGGCTGAGACTAACGCTTAGTCTCTGAAAATATATCATTCTGATAGAAACAAATAAGCATTTAAATTGAAAAGGAGCCCCAATGACATAGGAGCTTCAATTCGGGAGAAAATCTAGACTTACTTCATTTAGGACTTTTGCATTGTAGATAGGCCAGGCAGAAGGGAAATTAATATGCTTCGAGGACAGAACCAATATGTTTCCTGTTAAGTGACGTTATTTGCATATTTATCAGATACTAATTTCATTGGATTGGGTTATCACGTCGATAACATTATCCTTAATGTGATTAACAACATTCCTTTACATTCGCTAAACATTGTGTTGCAAAGTCGTGTGGAAAATACTCTTGCACAAGAGATAATACATATTTGTGGTATAGCAGCTTCACTTCATTATTGGAGAACAAATGTTACTATAAGTGGGGTAAGATATGTCGCCAATAGCTGACAGCCTAGACTGACTGGGGGCGTTCAATATGGCCATGACTGTTGTGAAAGGAATACGAGCTATGCACGTTTTCCTTATTGATCCATTCACTACCCGAATGTACATGTTCTGGAGGGTGTCGATGTGGGTGATGTACATACGCCCAGTGAGATTATGGAGAAGATATATAATCTCTGTCTGTTGGTGAGGAGAACACCCTTTGATAGGTTACCCCGTGTCTCTACTTTAAAATAACATACACAGATTCAGCGAAAACTCGTTAATACGGACGATAACGTTTTCTTGTGAAATTGTCTGGTTTAATACAATTTCTGGATTGTCGAATATATTTCGCACAGTCTTTTCAATATCATCACGAATGAGGTGAGGTGTCAGGACCATGAGAACCAGGAAATGGTGATTCATTGTATTTTACTATTGATATCTCAACGGTGTAGAGATAAAGAATATGAAGTTTGCTGCTTTTGATTGTCCTGGAGATTATCTACTCTTCATAAATGAAATGTGAGATGTTAGCGGTTTAGCAGGGCATACTTAGGAGATAAACGTACTGTGTTGGAAAATCAGAGGTATAAAACATGATTATATTCCTCTGAATGACTTTAGTTAACCAATCACAGTCCAGTATTTACTGAACTCACGCTAGAATTATCCTTATGTGTACCTCTGTTGTCATCACTGATTTATCCGTCGTCCATGCATGTCATTTTTACCGTTATTTTATCCTCCTACGTTGACCTTATAAAGTGTAGCTACCTACAACGTAATACTAGAAGTATTTAAAATTTATAAGGTATTTTTAGGTTTTTGTCGGAATTGTCCATACATGGTCAGAATTCTGCTTGTACGAATATTCCCATTCCTTATACAGTTATAAATAACCGCACAGGAAGTTTGGTCTTTTCTACTCATTACAGCAATGTCAATGATCGTGTCGAAAACTTTCAAATACAGAGGAGAGAAAGCTATTTACCAACCATCGGAAAAAACACGATTCGGATAAGTTTCATTCAAATACTTTTCACTGTTACTTTATAATTTACACTTTCGGTAGGATCCAAAAGACCCCCCGTCCTTGCACGTGGCCGCCCGAATTACTATGAGATCCGTCCGACAGGTGCAAATACTTCCAAAGCCAGTGTTAAATCCCCCTAACAGGCTAATTGCTAAGACGGCGATAAACGATTACAGTTTCGTTTGTACAATGCAATCCAATACAATAACGATAAATTTGTTACACCCGTGTGTGGAGCCTCAATGTTTAAATGGGGATTTCCTTATCGTCACACCGGTTGTGTGTAGCTGATATGCACTAGTGACTAAACCGAAAGTCCAGGTACCTCCGTCATAAGGCTAGGGTCGAATCGAATATGGCGGAGGCCTTGAGTCGCTGTCCTCTGCCTGATGGGAAGATCTACCACTTCAATGTCATCTACAACCACGCCCGATGTCGTCTGTCAGTCACCCCCGACACGAAACTGTCCCTTGCGTTTACTGAGAAGGTCGTGGCGACCTTAGAGTCGCTAGGCTATGTGAACTGTTACTTCCACGACCGGGACTGTTTGCCAGGTAGAAATGTTTTCAACGAGTTGTTCCGGGTGGTGGAGGGGTCGGACTACACAATCGTTGTCCTCACGGCTGGGTTTGTCAAGGACTGTTGGAGCAGGTACACCCAACAGTCGACATTCAAGAAGCTTCTTGACCAAGGACAGACCTACAAATTTCTACCTTTATCGGTCGCACTCCGAGAATCTGATCTGCCCCAGGAGCTGACCACGGAACATATTTTATGTTTTGGTGAAAACTGGGAGAGTGATGCCTCAGCGTGGAACCGACTGTCGCGCGTGTTCGAAGAGAATATACCGGTGCCAGAGGTGACGAGAGGACAGGACCTCCCCAGCATAGAACCTATCCAAGGTGAGAGCTCTATTCAGCTGTCCCATGCAGACACAGTCGATTGTGGATTGATATAGTGCACAATAATATACACACTACAGGCATTATGTACAGTCATACACAGCGTTTCATGACAGATCAACGTGCATACTGATATATGTTTTAAATACTGGTTTCAAATGCAACATGACAAAAGAGTAACACATGGATCAATGGAGGTGTCATAGCGCTCGGCTTGAACTGAAATCGCTAACAATAGGATTATTATGCACCGACTCTCATGCAACATGAATACCTGTGTTGGGTTTATGCGTATTGGAGGGTTTGAATGTGCGATCTTATGTTCGTAATAGGCCTGGTCTCGTTATTTTACTATTGATTAGCCTGCCATGTCAGACTGTAAGTGACATGACGAGAGAAGATGTATGCACATCCCATACCGGAAAATGGTAGAGGTTTTAGGTTATGTATGTATGTATGTATGTATGTATGTATGTATGTATGTATGTATGTATGTATGTATGTATGTATGTATGTATGTATGTATGTGTGTATGTGTGTGTATGTATGCATGTATGTATGTATGTATGTGTGTATGTATGTGTGTACGTATGTATATGTGTATGCATGTATGTGTGTGTACGTATGTATATGTGCATGTATGTATATATGTATGTGTGTTTGTATGTATGTGTGTATGTACGTATGTATGTTTGTATGATTGTACGTATGTATGTATGTATGTGTGTGTATGTATGGATGTATGTATGTGTGTACGTACGTACGTATGTATGTATGTGTGTACGTGTGTATATGTGTATGCATGTGTGTGTGTATGTATGTATGTGTGTGTACGTATGTATATGTGTATGTCTATGTGTGTATTTATGTATGTGTGTATATATGTGTGTCTGTCTGTCTGTGTATGTCTATGTGTGTGTATATATGTCTATCTGTCTGTCTGTATGTATGTGTGTGTATGTCTATGTGTGTATTTATGTATGTGTGTATGTATGTGTGTCTGTCGGTATTTGTGTATTTATGTATGTGTGTATGTTTGTCTGTCTATATCTGTCTGTCTGTGTGTGTGTGTGTGTGTGTGTGTGTGTGACATGTAGTATACAGTATATCAACTGCAATATGTGTACTACACATGTCAGATTTTCAGAACACTGTAACGCTTCCTTGTGTCAGTTCTACATGAACAATTTATTATTCATACATGTTCACAAGGAAACACATCTGCAACAGCTTGTCCCAAAATGTCTTTAAACTATACAGTCACTGTCAATAAACAAACAGTCAGGATAAAAACAGACATCGTTGTTTATCGTCCACGATACTCTGGGTTAATAGTGAGTGAGTGAGTTTATTTTTACGCCGCACTCAGCAATATTCCAGTTATACGGCGGCGGTCTGTAAATAATCGAGTCTGGACCAGACAATCCAGTGATCGTCAGCATGAGCATCAATCTGCGCAATTGGTCACCGATGACATGTGTCTACCAAGCATGCCATACAGACTGGCCACCCGATCCCGTCAGCCGCCTCTTACGACAAGCATGGGTTACTGAAGATCAGTATTCTAACCCGAACCTTCACGGTGCTGCGTAACTGGTATTCAATAGGTAGCCCTACTGGTCCCGATTGGATTATCCCAAGACTTCCAACGGCGTTTCATATTAGCATACATTTGTATGGCTTCTGAATGCACTTCCAATTATTTGGAATATTACCAAATGTCAGGAATATGGTAATATATATTGGTCCCAATATTTATCATATGCACCTAACTATATACTCTAATTGCACAAACATTCATGACAGCTATTTTCAGTCGGCACAAAGGCCAAACAGCTGTTGTGGATAAATTTTGCTAAGGAACCAGTTGTGACGATAAAATCTCCAAATAGCATTGGTTTGAAAGAGAGTTTATAAGTTTGGGATGATAAATATCCTGTCTTATAAATAGCCGTGCATTGACTCGCCAACGCTCGTTTATTCCAATGTTTACCCATGGTACATTACACTAATAAACACCATCAAACAAACTTTCATTAAACACCATACCTTTATAACCTCTGTATGCAAAGGGTGCACACCCACCTGGAACCCAGTTTGTCAGTTGTTTCACCTGGCCAACTTTCATCCCACGTGGTGTGGAGTGTACATGCTAGACTGGCAGTATCTCGGAATTTCTTAATTTTTTTAAATTTCACAGTCTTTCAGCAGTTGAACTGCAACGAATAAGGAATCATATTGAATTGGGAAATGTCCTAACTTGACAAAACCAGATTGTTAAAGGCGTCGTAACACCAACAAGATGCTTCATCCTCCTCACTTGTATATATCGCGATGTTTATTTATTTTCAAGACCTTTACTTAAGAGATGAAATATATTTCAGGGCACCTGTAGAATCGAAGTGACACAGATATACAGTCCTGTTGAGGTTTTTAGTAATCATCTGTGTTCAATATTTCTAGCTTCTGTCTTTGATTGTCCACAATTAAACATATATAAGGCTCCCGCTCATTATTGTCAACAGGCCATGAAGAGACACACGGAAATAGATAAACTTGAGCAGTTAAATGTAATGACAAATTAATGTGTGTGAGTGAACACTTAGGAGTTGCTCCCAAATCCGAAAGCTATAAAAGTCGAGCATGTTTCCGTTGAAATGACTCAGCTTATGGACATTACGGGTGGTTCATGACAATCAGTGAAGTGCAGTCATAAATATCGCCACCTCAACCTGCCAATCCCTGTTTGCGAGCATCATACCTTGTGTCCAGATGTATGTGTGTACTGCCCTTGGATACTGATGTGTATTATGGCTAGTGTTGTTATTTATATCTAATGTCCCCGGATGTAAATACTTTGTCTATTATAATTGCCAAATTTGAACTCTATACCATGCTCAACCGCTACATTATTGCCAGCGGACCAGTGTGCAGACCTATTTCAGTCTCCCGGGATGTATATACATATACTCCATGCTGTCGTAGGGACGATGGGGTAGCCCAGCGGCTAAAGCGTTCACTCGTCACGCCGATGCCCGAGTTCGATTCCCCATATCCGTACAATGTGTGTCTCCCACCGTGCAAATGCTGGAATATTGGTAAAAGCGGCGTCACAACCCAACTTACTCACTCACAGGCCATGCTGTCTTTGGTGCTAGAAGGTTAACAGTCACTATACCATGTTTTACTACCGGGTACCCATAACTGCAAGGTGACCAGAGACATATTTCGAACGAAGCATCTTGTATAAGTAGAATTCATATGTAGCATATATGCTTCAATCCGGGTCAGGATTGAAGCACTAGAAATTCTCAGGTGTCAAGAAGAGCATATTGGTAGCCGAAATCCCAGGTTCGATTCCTAATATTAGTTCAGTATGTGAAGCGTATTTCAGGTGTTTCCCGACGTGATATTGCTAGAGTATTGACGAAAGCGGCGTATAGCCATACTCGCTCTCACTCACTCACTCACTCAAACACTCACTCACACTCAGTCACTCACTCACTCATGTATTCATTGCCTCACTTATTTCATAATGTACCGTGATTAACCGAGGTGAAGTTCGGGGAAATGTTCCTGGTGACTGTACCATGTGTGGCTGCTTGTATAAGTCCGGTCTGATGGCGGTTTAACAGACTGACCCACCGAAATACGGGTGGAATCGCCACTCCACACTCCGATCAGTGCTTACTTATCCCCATTGTGCCAAGCACCTGTTAGGGTAACAAGTACCATCAAGTCGTTTGGTATCACTCGGACAGGAATCGAACACAGACCTTTCCGCTTTATCCACCATCGTCTTTGTCGATACTAAAAGAGACAGAAGGAAATTACTAGAAATAATTACCTCTGTATTCGGGTTCATGAATATTTTGCTATAAACAAAAAACCCTTAAATTAAAGTTTCAACACAAATTATAAGAAAGATTATTTTATAAACCAAACACATTTTAAAAAATGATATTGCAAAGTCTTTTAAGTAAAATATGAAAATACATGTATGTCGATCTGTCCTCTAAGACGCAACACTTGCTATAATGAATGCTGTTTCTTTGTCGGTCTTTCACACACACCTTTTACACTAGCTGAAAGAATCAGCATCTTTAGCTTAAAAATAGTAATCCAGATTTAGTGCTCAGGGAGTAAACAAATCCATTAGCCTACTTCCAGCCCCTGTAACACGGTATTACCCACACAACAAGACACCAGGGGTCGTTAGCCGACTCAGATTAGCGATATCCGTATAGTCACGTGACAAGAACTCTTACACCCTGTTTTGTTTGTTTATTAATGTCGAAATTCTAGCCAAAATGATTATGTTCATATTGAAAAATATTTTTAATAAAAATGAAATAAAATAACACAATACTATAACACAGTCATTTTGAAATGACAAAACGAGTGCATGAAGTTTTAATTGCATGGGCGTTTTAATAACGAGTATCGCTGATGTATCATTCCCTGGAATGATGTGTTTCAAACATGCTGACCTGAATCAATATGCCCCTTAATACATTTCCTGTGCAACCAATGTCTGTCTGACCAATTACATACTAATGCCACCTGGCTGCACCCACACAATGCGACTTACCCCGCCGTGCTATACAATTACTGCCGGGAGAGTAGGTGTTACTGCAAGGTCAGAATATAATAGTACAATCCCGATTCCGGGCCCATGACATATAGATAAAGGCCCTCATCGCAGAGAGCAGGGTGAGGTTAGATCGTGAAAATACGTCGTAGACGACGTGTAGGTAGGTGAGGTTGGTGTTAATGGAGACGCGGCGATACCACCATGTCTATAGTCCTTCCCGCAAAACCATCTCCAGGTAAGACTGAGAAACATCTGGAATATTGTGTCATATTGTGCAAAGGGATTTATGTTGATCCTTCGTGGGTCTTGAGTAACCGTGTAAGCCTTGAATGTACTTCTGCAACGTAACAAAACATGATATATATCGTGGCCACATGGATAACGAATGGTAGATCTGTACATGGCATGGTCTGTGAAGGTGCGGTAAGAATTGGAATGTGTTTTTGTCGTGATGAAACTGTCTGAATTAATTCACTTTGTTCGTGGCTGCAATCGCGTGAATGAAATAAATATGGCGCGTTAATGTGACCCAACTTTGTACAGTGGTTGAGCAATATATGGCATAAGACGTGTATAATGATAAATATGTAATTATTCTGTATATTTTCTAATAATGAATTTGGCCTTATGGCTTCTAACTGCATCTGATTAATGTATTTGACGTGACTGTTCCTATTAATGTAATTATCCGAATGCATGACACCGTATACTTCATTACAATGACATGTTTATTTTCAAATGTACTGTCATTGGATGTGGTTGAGTTCTCGTACTTGGACAACACCAAAATATAATTCCCTTTGTGACTGAACCTGTCTCCGTGTCCCTTCGGCTTAGAGCGTTTGATCCTCCGGGATCTTGTGCCCCGATGTCGGTCGGGCGGATCCTAACAATCGTCATTACAATGTTAAAAGATGGAACTTGTTGTTACCGTGCCCAGCGCATGGCAGGAAAAGACACATGGACTATTCTGATAGTGTATCTGATTTTGATAACTATGTTAAACTGTGGTATGGTATCTTAGTGGGTCTGTAGTCCTGACTTGTACAAGGTCAACACGCAGACGTACACGCAGGCTGCTAATATTGCAATAGTGCAATATTCACGAACGGTATTCATGATTTCGCCTCACTCTCTGACGAGACGTCTCCACCAGAAGGTGCACAACCCCTTAACGCTGATCATTGTTTAGTACTGAATATGTATCATTCATATTAGTGGTATAATGATATAGCTGCTCTCTGACTCTCTGATTACTCTTAACCCGCGAAGATCCGGGTTAGAATTGATCTTCAGTACCCATGCCTGTCGTAAGAAGCGACTAACGGAATCGGGTGGTCAGGCTCGCTGATTTGGTTGACACATGTCATCGTATCCCAATTGCGCAGATCGATGCTCATGCTGTTGATCACTGGATTACTGTTAGATTCGTTATGAAAATCGAGTCCGATGACACGTTTTTGAAAAGTTTAGTGAGTGAGTAATATATTACGTCGCAATATTTCCACAATATTATGACGAGAAAATTGAAATGGACCTCATTTGATGCATCATGTGGGGATCCCTAGCTTTTAACCTGACGAGAGAAAGATTTTACCTTTAGGCTATCTCTTTCTACGTACTAGTATATGTACAGTGCTTGCAAGGAAATGGTCAACGATAACACTAACTTTCAAACGTCGATGATTTAGGACTAGAAATCGACACAAATATAGGTCTGCCAACTGAGAGTGACAATGTCATAGGAAACATTTTGACATTACATGTAGTTTCCGCACATGTTATATTATATAAGAATATTGCATGTATCGCCAATCGGTTTGTTTATTCTCTAGCATCTTATCAGATATAAGGCGGCGGTCTGTAAATATTCGAGTCAAGGACAGAAAATTCATTGATTGGTTGATTAAGCATGCCACGTTGATACGTCACCAACTGACGACATGATCCATTAAGTTGCCCCTGTCGTGGGGACCTACTCTAACTTCGAACTGTAACTTAACTACTCTTGTCACTTTTTGAAGCCACGTCCTTTCTGTAGATATGCTATTTTTACCTAAAGACTTTAAGAAAAAATTCAAGGAATGAGATTTATTCAAGTATATTTTTTTTCATTTCGTTAGAAACCAACACCCCAGATTGCCAAGTAAACTTCCCCGGGAGAGATGACCTTGACCATGCAAGTGAACTTCCTGAACCACAAGGTGAAGGACAACGTGGAGGTTTAGTAAATCAGAATCAGTCTCTTGGAGGCACTGAAGTAACTGTTGGGAGGAGTCATTTTGCCAATGTTAATGAAACTAATAGCGAGAACACTGGGGCGACTGATGAAATTGATAGCGGGAGAACTGACAGAGTTGATGAAACAACTGACAGGGTGAGAGAAGAAGAAGCGCATTGTGGAAGTGATGTAGAGAGGGAGTCAGTGGGTGAACCGAGCAATGCCCAGAGTTACACTGACCACGCTCGAGACGGACTCAGCTTTCTGCAGTCTGAGACACAGGTAGAACAAGACGGAGAGCAGAACACAGAACGTCAGAACATAGAAAGTCAGAAAACAGAACGTCAGAACATAGAGAGTCAGAACAAACCTCGTCAGAACATAGAAAACCAAGACACAACAAGCCAGAACTTTGAAAGCCTAAACACAAGCCAGAACACAGAACGTCAGAACATAGAAACCCAAGACACAACAACCCAGAACACAGAACGTCAGAACATAGAAGGGCAGACAGGTCAGGACATTAGAAGTCAGACGGCAGAAATCCAAAACACAGAAAATCAATTCACAGAAATCCAGAACACAGAGAATCAGATCACGAGTAGTCAGATCACTGAAGGTATCTCCATGGACCTGTCCAGGCGACAGTTGATTGGGAGTAACCGGGAACAGCAGGGGAACACTGGGTTAGGAAAGACAAGCCATGCCTATCCAGGACATGATACAGGTCAGGGTCAGGGAACAGGCAGATACTCTACATCCCTGGAGACTGGTGCCCAGAATATCTCACCCCTTAGTCTACCTGATACAAGTCTTGAAGAAGACCAGGGAGATTTGGAATCGTCAGTTGTAACACGACTTGAAAGAACGGGAATGGCTGGGTTTCGACACGATCTGGTCCAGACGAGGAGGAGATCCACTGATGACACGTCAGAGAAGCGTATTAATGAGACACGCTACCGGTACAGCGTTGACGTAACTTCTTCAAGTCACTATTCGTTCAAGAAACAAGATATGGAGCAGTCTGTACACGATGTAGACCAAACAAAACTGAAGCTACTAGAGAATGAAACTCAAAAAGATGGCTCTAGTCAAAAACAGGCTCCCGCTACAGCTAATGAAGACGTTTCGTCCTCTGGGAAAAGCAGCAGTGGTAGAGTCAGGGGTATAACAGATGTGTCTTATCAACAACCGGCACATCATCAAACCACCACGGATCAGACACGTCCTTCTACCGAAAACACCTCCACCGTCAGGCAGCAAATCACGAAAGTTGATGAGGCGAGTGAGTTAGAGGCCGTCCTCTTCAGGGCGAGTCTTCCGTCCCTGGAAGATTCTGGGATTTCTGAGAGCGGGAGTTGGAGTATGGAAGCTAGAACTGACTCTGAAAGTCTGCAGGATTCAAGTCCGGAGGAAACATTCAGTGGCGATAACACATTTGGCCAAGGCATGCTGACCTCGTCAGAAAGAGGAACGCCTGATGGTAGTGTCCAGGAAGTCAAGACGACAGAGCTCCATGCCCAAAACAGACTTAAGGAACATGAAGATAAACCGGCAGCAGATTTAGAATTCCCGAGTAATGCCGCTTGCAACAACCACCGAGAAACTGACGTGAAGATGGCGATTGGTGAACCTGGGGGTTCAAACCATGACGATTTATCACCGGCAAGGGTTTCCGGACATGACTGTTCTTTCGTTGATCAAAAACTTCTTTGGAAGTCCTAAACGCCAGTGGGAGAACTCAAACAGACACCCGATCATTGTTACAGAAGCAGTCCGTTACAGATACCATCAGTCTTACGAACGATGCGCTAGAACAATTTCCGACAAGCCAAGAATCCACGGCGCTAACACCAGGCAGTGAGAAAATGGCATCTCCACACAAGCTAACGTTGTTTGACGACAAATGTCAGGAACACCGAAACTCCAGACAAACAAACACTGAGCTGATTGAAAAACATGATCCTCAGAATAAAACATCAGAAAAGTCTCGACCACAGCAGGACACACAAGGTTCAGGAGCCGATACACCAAGACCAAACGATGAGTCAGCTAATGCAGCAAGCGGTAAGTTTGTAATACATTGAACTTTTCTTTCCGAGTATGTGTACACAAGTTTGCATTGGAATATCTGTAAATCTTAAAGTTTGCATCTAAAATATAAAACGGCAAGTGTTTGCAACATAGCGTGCAAATACACGTCGCCCAACAGTACAGCACAAAGTTCATAGCAATAGATCAAGAGTAAGTGAGGGAACTGAACCCCGAAGTTTAGTTTGTATCGTGATACAGAAATCAGATATGCGTGTATTAATAAGCTCGTTGGTTGATTGTAATGTTCATCTGTCACAGCTGTATTAAGAAGTATCGTATTGAAGAAAAACGTCTGATATAAATGAAATTGGTATTTTACCAGTGTGCCTGTGGGCACAGGCATAGGCGTAGGAACAGTTTAAGAGTTGGGGGGGGGCAAGATTTCGAAATTGATAACGGGGGGTGGGGTGTGGGTTGGAGAGGAGATATATGAAAAGGACAGACGAGTTCACTTGCTTTGCAATTTCTCCACAAAGAGTGTCCCAGCCCTTGTCTGCAGCTTTAGAATACTTCACAAGAAGGTCTTTATAACAACTTATTCTCTTTATATTTGGTCTTAAATATCTGAAAAATAAGAAATTGGAGTCACTGTCTTTTTTTCTTTATGATAATCATATTTTGGGTGCTGACAAATAGAACAATAGGGTACTGAAAAACAATAGTTTTATACTATAAATATATTATAATTACATTCAATAACAAGGCAGAAGTGAGCACAGCTCACATACCCCCGCTCATAGTCTGATCGCATTCAATACCATTATTGAATACCAAAATAATATTTTAGGAAAACTTTCAATTTTGGCATCGTGCAATTGAAAGCCAAAACCCACAATGGCACCATAAGGGTAAGTTCCATGCCAAATTTGAAGTTTGTAAGTGGTATAGTTTTTGAGTTATGCTCAGAGAAACCATTCCGGACGCACGGACACACGGGCGGACGGGCTGAGCGCTATATACCAGCGGCTACGTCGTAGCGGGGGTATAATAATGCAGCCATTCTTATTTTATACATGAATTCGGTTTTCAGATAAAACCAGCTCTCTCACTGCCAATGTATGAGTTTGAAATCGTGTCTTATTGTTATTGTTTAGATTTTCAATAAATAAATCAAACAGCACCTATTATACTTAAAATATGGCTATTACTGTAAACTAAATGTTACTGTATAGACTACAGTGTAATGCCAATGTATGTTGTCAACTTACCGCTGATTCGAATCCATGTTGGCTGTTGATAACAGCCTGACTGCCTCTACTTTCACTTTTGAGTGACATGAATTAAAAAATTTGGATTCTATCATTAGCAGAAATTATTTTTTTTGATCATGTTATTTTTTCAGCGTTACCAGAGGCTTGAATTTGTGTTTAATTCTCTATTATGGTCCCTAAAAAAATTTCCAGCTTGTAAAAATATGGGGGCGCTTTTGGGGGGAGGCTGACCCCTTCCCCAGTTCCTACGCCTATGATTTAATGGCATTTCTCACTTTAGCCACTTCTGCTTCTTACACTGACTGTCTCCTCTTCACACATTCATAAGAGTTAACTCCACCTTGTAACTCTTTCTGGTGAACATACAAGAATCCCTCTAAAGCTAACTTTTCATTCCCTCTCTGACTTGGAATCCACTCCATGGGGATCACTTGTCCGAGGGGGCAATTAGCCTAGGGGGCAGTTGATACCAATATTCTGTACTCTTCGCCTTTTCGCCCAGATGTTGAGTATTCTCTGGTGCAAATCTATTCCTAGCGCTTCTCAGATGTAACGCGTTTTAATACAGGCATGTTCCTACATCTTGTAATAAAGGTTACAAACGCCAAAGATGCAAATGCCTCTTCTTTACATTTGACCCGTGAAGGTCCGGGTTAGAATACTGATCTTCAGTAACCCATGCTTGTCGTAAGAGGCAACTAACGGGATCGCGTGGTCAGGCTTGCTGACTTGGTTGACACATGTCATCGGTTCCCAATTGCGCAGATCGATGCTCATGTTGTTGATCACTGGATTGTCTGGTCCAGACTCGATTATTTACATACCGCCGCCATATAGCTGGAATATTGCTGGGTGTGGCATAAAACTAAACTCACTCACTCACTGACTCACTCTTATTTACATTTAACACTAGATGTCATGGTTAACCGGCTGTCTCAAGGAGGTTCTTCAGCAGATGGAGAGCAGATCATCTACTCACGGATACCGCTGACTGATTATGAACGTCGGGTTCAAGGTCAAGGTGTCGTTACAGGGAGAGGAATAGAGGAGATGCTTCAAGAAACAAGCCTCGTCCATGATGGAGAGGATCGGGTTCAAGATGGTGTTACGTGGGCAGAAACAGATCAGACTGTTCCAAAGACAATCCTGATCCGTGACGATGAACATCAGGTTCAAGGTCTAGATGGCGGTACAGGGAGAGAAACAGAAGAGCCACTTCAAGAAACAAGCCTCGTCCATGATGGAGAGGATCGGGTTCAAGATGGCGTTGCAGGGAGAGAAACAGACGAGGCACATCCAGAGACGAGTCTGACCCATGGTGGAGAATATGAAGCTCAAGGTGCGTTCCAAATTCATAATGAATTTGTCTTTATCTATCTTTTAACTCACTCACTAGTCTGTTCTAGTGCAACTTGTCGTCTGAACAACGCAATTCAACACAGATGTGTCATATTCTGTAGTTACACGCAGGCATCCACATGCGCACGTACACACATACACACAAACACCCATGTACACAACGCACATACACACGAATACCCTTGATATGCCATACTGAGAGATGCCCTCATATACAGTGTCTCAAGTCAATAACTTCCTGCAGGCATGTTCCTACATCTTGTAATATAGGTTACACACGCCAAAGATGCAAATGCCTCTTCTTTACATTTGACCCGTGCAGGTCCGGGTTAGAATATTGATCTTCAGTAATCCATGCTTGTCGTAAGAGGCAACTAACCGGGATCGGGTGGTCAGGCTCGCTGACTTGGTTCACACATGTCATCTTCCCAATTGTGCAGATCGATGCTCATGTTGTTGATCACTGGATTGTTCCAGCTTTGTAAACATATGGGGGCAGCTGCCCCACACACACACACACACACACCCCACCCCAAAGTTCCTACGCCTATGGGCACAGGCATGTTGCTGATATCCAAAAGATGTTCAGTGTCAATACTTGATTCAAAAACATACAGTACCGTGTGCACGAAAGTGGTAAATGCAAAACAAATGTACATACGTTCTAAGGTTGTTGTTTTCTTATTTGGTTGTGGTTTTCTTTCAAATAAAATAATGTGAAATATGCTGTTAAATATCATTTTCCCATATGCTGTACTTTACAGAGCCTCGACACACATCATGGCTTCTCCCAGCTTGCAAACTGATAATTCATCTGATGACGAGGGCAGAAAATCCGTTCCTTGTTTGAACACAGACCTACTGACCTTATCTCTACTCCCTTTGGTGAGATATCAGCATCGGTAATATCAGCAACAGTATATAATTATGGACAGAATAAAACGCCAAACATCGATCAGACCACACGATACTGAAGAGACCGCGTATATAACGCGTTCTGCACATTCAGCGGACTCAACTCAAAACGAAGGACAGCGATATCTTCTCGCCTCGACGTCTCCAAATCCTAACATTGCGATCAGCCTGGTCAGTGCCAAGACAACCTTTCTCTAGCGCCTGGTGTACCCGTCGATGATTATATGCCAGCATCTGACATGTGTGACAATGACCGTTAAACGTTGGTCTGGTCGACGGTAGCTATAGTGTGTATTGGCACCTCGGGAACTGGCGAACTGTTTCACCAGTCTGTTGTGGAATCCAAACTCAATCGAGCAATTTGGTATCACATACCGACCATGGACCATGTCTATCTGACGTCACTTCCGTCCGCTTCGTGAACGATCATCTGCTCTGTTGGGCCAACTGATGACGTTCCTGAAGCATTAACATTGTGGAATGATGGACACCAAGATGTCTGGAACCTCGCAGCCTCCTCCATTCATCTTCAGTCAGACCGACAGTTATATTGGTCATTGTGCTTTTGTGTGTCAACATTAAATTCAAACAGCTATTATTTGAGAGCAAGGTCAAGGTACCCAATGAATTAACTGAAATGGTTCTCTTCTGGTCATAAAGATTGCACCACCTTCCTGGCATTTTCTGGAGACCTACGTCCTGGTGAATATTATTTCATGGAAAGTAAAATTAAATGTTGTCTTATTAAAAATGTAATTCATTTACATATTTTCTATTTTAAGAGTTTTATGTACATGTATATACAAAATGTATAAGATATCTGATCTTTAACAATATTCATCTCTTGTTCATCACGTTATTCCTTTTACAAATATCTATTGTAGTTTGTTTTGGGTATTTTGTTGAATATCAAGATTTCAATGTTTTTGTCAATCGTTATTCCTATACGTTATGTCCTTTTGCACTGTTCACCTCTATAAAGAGTAACTTAATTACTATACTTATGTAATTATACGTATCCTGAAAATGTTCCTAGAAGATATTTCCCAGTTAAGGAGATTATAAACAAGTAAAGCATATCGTCTTACTTTATGACGTACCCATGTCGCAATGATATTGGATAAATTGGGTATATCCTGCATGGGTTCATCTCAAGATATTTCCGAAAAAGCAATTACAGTAGACTACGGTTATATCGAACTCAAAAGGACCTCTAATTTTAGTTTGGTTTAACCGTAGTTCCTTATACTTATTTTATGAAACAAAACCCTTTGGTATATCCTTCTGTAAAACGTGCATGTACATGCAGTTTACTGTATGTGCTTACATTAAACTCGGCATCTACGCCTCTTCCAGCAATATTTGTGGGTTTTTTTATCAGAGATAATATCTGTATTTAATTATAAAACTCGTTATTCCGGTAACTCTGTCTTTCCGACCACCTATTTAATCTGTGTATTACTACAAAGGGACAATACTTGGTAACTACTTAATTTAGACACTTGTGAATCCGTACAATTTTAGACTGGTTTAATGCAGTCCGGATTAATGGGGTTTCTGTTTATTCTTTAATTGTTCTTTGAAGTGACAGAACAAGTATCATGTTTTAGTCAGAGTTCATATCACTTCTAATATAGTGTGTCAAAGAAATATCAAATCACGTTTGAGTGAGTGTGATATTATGCCGCATTTAGGATTTTTTAAGCAATATCACGACACCAATGATATACCTGATAAAGTGTTCTAGTAGGCGTTAACTAACTCTCAAGATCCATATGTCTTTCAGTTTGACAACCCTCTTTATACTTTGTCAGTGCATATTTAGACAATATAACATGTTTACGTGTTAATTAGATATTTACTCAGATACGATGTCAGAGCAATATTTCATAGTGGTATTGAACCTTGGTTTATGACGATATTGGGATATGTACACAGCAGTGTTGTAAGCCTAAGCCTTGCGTTTGTAGATCGGAACTGTCTGATCCATATAATTTTAATATTTCTGTGATTTGTTTGCAAATATTGTAACAGAACCCATTATGTTTTGGTAATTTCCATACGTATGGCAGAATATTTGTTGATTTTATCCATGTAAATATACAAGTGATATTTTGTATGATAATCCCGTGAGTGGAATAAACACATACATGAGTGGATATTTACAAGCACGTGTCATTGTTTAGTGATCCATTCATACAAAAACCAGGCGAGTTTTAGCGCCACACCCAATAGATTCATCTCGTGATAGGATGGGGGATTCATTGAGCCAGGATTAGACAATCCCGTGATAGGTTGCTGGGGACATATTCGAACACGGAACACCACGACAAGATAAACGTGAGCTATGGAGACCTATCTTGACACAGTGTAAAACCATCACTGGATCTAATGAAGCTTTGAACATGATGTAGGCATCTTGTGTTATCTTAACGTAGGTCAACCTAACGCAGATTTCCCTCCAGTGTCACAAGCATGGTTATTATGCTGACAGACCATAAATAACACACAAGGCGAATCCGGAGTTCTAACCTGTGACATGAATCCAGACATAGTCTTCACACTGTACTCATATGAGGAATCAAACCCGGGCCTTTGGCATGACGAGCGAACGCTTGAACATCTAGCCTACCCGACCACATCACGGCATTTCTGCATGTTCTGGTTTGCCCAAACCAGATTCGATCACAAATTCAAATGCTGATTGCGTCATCAACGCAACTAACATACCGTAAATCATTTAATAGAAGATGCCTGCCTTAAATACCAGGTGTGTCTAACAGGCTACGACATCAACTAATGCCACTTCAACATGAACAATCATGTCACACTGTTTGATCATAAATAATATTTCAGTATTCCAAAGATTAAGTAAAGGTATATACTGCTCGCGTTTTATTCAATTACACGCCCCACCTCAAACACAATCAAATGGTGTACCATTATTAAAAATATCTGATGTAAGACGCCTAAGATTTATTTACCAAGAAGAGGAAGCCTGGGAATGAAAAATCTTGACCACGGTGGAAACTGTCTGACTTACTCCACGGCGGTCATGCCGTAAATTATTATGTCGTACATGAAATTAACAAAGACATAATACTGTGTTTCTGCACTGTTTTTACCTTGCATCAAAGTGTTTCGTCCTCTTTGACGTAGCTTGGACATTGGGCGACTATCTAGGGGAGAGAACTCAAGCAGATCATCAGTCTATGTAAATGTGATTCTTATCCAAACCCACTTGTTGGCACAGGCCCTCGTGTCTTTGCGAGGATTAAAGATTTGAAAAATGTGTGACAAATTTGAGATGGCCCCCGACTCGAAATGCTTCACAGTACAATACATTATATTGTACTGTGAAGCATTTAGAGTCGGGGGTCATCTAAAAAACACATTTGCTTTATATCTTTAATCTTCGCAAAGACACGAGGGCCTGTGCTTGTTAGTCCGCTGAGACAAATTGTACGTGAGAAATCAAAGTTATATGCAATGAAAATATATATAAACAGTCAAGAGCAAAGACACGCAAGGTTTATTATTTACCAAAGATTTCATTTGTAAAGATTCAATAAATGTAGAGCCAGTTTAGAGATATATTTTCTGATCATTTAGGCTTTTGAGTGTGAAACGTTTCTTTGTTCGTGGGTATATTAGACCATTGTTAAAAAGAAATACAGTTCGCTCTATCCCCATGTATAGTGCTATAGAAGCACACCTTTGCCCTGAACTATTATAGTTAAGCGTCCTCGTACTTTAACTAAATTAGTTCAGGGCAAAAATGTACTATATTACACTATACAGAGTGGTAGAGCGAATTGCATTTCTTAAATAAAGTACTATCGGCCCTTTGATCTTTTAGCGAAGCATCTTAGAAACTTTGCAGGAGAAGAGGTTCAAATTCATCGGGATAGTGTTTTTCGTCTCTAACAGATAGTGCATAATTTACAATTCTGTCCTCCCTGGCTATTGATTGTCATCGGCAAATTTTAACGTAAAGATCGGGGCTACATGGGCAGATCTTTTTAGATTGATATGTACATGGTTAGTTAATAGAAATTCCCAAAGTTTCATGACATTTTCTGGAGTTGATATTATACATGATTGAGATCTTGATTTGACAGTTGAGTTCCAGTTTTGAGAAATAGTATTTTAAGCATAGCTCAGTCATATCACATAGACGATATGGATAAGGTTACGATTACAGCTTGGTCGTATGATGTGTGTTACAGTGAGTACCTAGCCCAGATTACATTAGTACTAGCCATGGTTATAGACCTTGAATATTGGTGACTGTGGAAACAAATTCTATTTCACGCGCCTCTTCCTTTGTGTATCCAGGAACTTAACTTGTCTCGTGCGTCGTTTCATCACGATATAACCTCCACACGGCGAATACGTCACGACTGTAATACCAAATAAAGCGTCGTAAAATATCCCATCTGGCCTTCCTGGCGGTTAGCGCGCTCGTGTCAAAGGGTGTTTGTTGCATGATACTGAGACTAATGGTGCAGTACCTTGCACATGAACACCAAGATTTGTATAACATGTGTAACAGGCTCAATGAATATAAAGTCGCAATTTTAAGAAAACTTTCCAAAAAAAAATCACTTATGTCTCAAGTAAACTTTCCATACTACCATGTCACTACGTATATATAGGTCAATATGAAATCAATCTCTCATATTGGTACATAGAGTTTTAATTTAAAAATATACACAGTTAAAAATATTCGTTAGTTTAATTTGATACTACTTAATTAATACAACTGTAAGTTGGGTGAGTGCACCACAATTCCGTTCTTTATGCCGAACTCTCCCACTGAAATTAGTTCCTTTTTATGTTTTTCTGATCACGTCTTAATACGAAAAAGTGTTTCTCCATTGAAATGTTGATACGTTAAGTATTGATTGAGTTCGGACATCAAATGGTATATAAAATAGCAAGCAGTAGTTACGGTGCAAGGCGTGTGGTGGGTCGGGTTTAAATTAACTGCCGGGGAAAAGGAAAAAAGGTCGACGTCACGGCAATGCACACAAGCAACTTCTGCAGATTTTATGACAGATGTAAAGATGGTTGCTACAAAGCTCAAACACATACCGTAAATCTAAGAATACATGTCTAACTTGAATTCACGTCTTGTCGGAACGGCATGCGTAATAAGTAAATTCCTGTGTTGAGAAAAATTGACAAAGTTCTGCCTGAAACAGGTATTTTTTCGGTATTTAGTAATAGGTTTGGGCAAACCACACATATTTTGTTCATATTACACGTCACATCGCTTTGAAAATGAAAAGAATCTATTAAATCAAAAACACACACCAACCAAAAAAGACACCTAATAGATTTCATTGCGTCTATTCAGGGATTTACTGTAGTAAACAGGATATGTTGAAAGCCAGGGCCGATGACGCGTATCCTTCAGTTGGGCTAATACAGGAACTATTCCACTCTTCCTGTATACGACAAGGCGTTCGTATGTCGTCGTGGGTTTGCATGTTACCTCGTTGATTACGTTCAGTTTGTCTGGAAACAGTAAACCCGCTGCAAGAAACACTACTGTGTAACAATATGTACAATAGTTTTTACTCTTTATAAACTTTGTCTTCTAACTATTCTTTTACAGTGACAAAGTCCTTGTTTAGATTGTTTGTAGTCTGTCCTTCATTCTTTGTAGAAATTGTGCCTAAACTTGCATTTTTGTAAATTGAGTAGAAAATGACGTAACCGCCTAATCAATATATTATATTCAATAATGAGCATGTCCCAACTGTAATGTAACTCTCTTGAGAACGATACAGTCACTGAGAATCTGTTGGTCCCTCGAGGACAGCTGCGCCAGAAAAGCTATCTTATTAGTTCTACATTTGTACTAAATTAACTAATATCCTGATTAGGTGATAATTTCCACTCCGCTACTGTGACCGAAGAAAACGTACCACACGTATACAGGATTTGGTAGATATTACTTGGTGTGAAGTCTCCAGGTTCAATACAGGCTGTTCAAACTAGCATACATGTATAGTTAATGTAACCGTCACTTGTTATAGACCTATACCATACCACAAATAGCATTTACTTGACCACTGGCAGCGAACTTGAAACATGACTGAATACTGAAAACATAAAATTAGTTTAAGCAAATATTATGACATTATTCTCTCAATTTTTACAGCAAGATCGTGTAGTGTGATAGATTATGTTTAGAGTATGGAACACGCTAATCAAATAGGATAAGTCTTCAGTTTTAGTGTTTATATTCAACTATTTCCAAAAAGCATATCAAAATTCAGGAGCCGCTCGTATGAAATCACGTTCTTTGAAGAAACTAAACTCTTTTGGATTATGGTAAACCTCCTTTCAAGTAATTAATGAGACTCTCCGAGTGAAGTCTGGGTTACATTTCTATGTTATTTATTCTGCCCGGTATAGGAATCTCCCCAGCATGCACTCACCAACTTCAGATGACATTGTTTAATCAAATGAAAACTGAATTAATATGTTTTCAAATGTGCTTCCCACGTTACCACGCATTTCTGTCGATAGTTAACACCACTGTGGTAATTTAAGGCTGGACGGAGATCGATGTAATATGGAAATCGTTAACGAGAACGCCCTGTGGCAGTCAAAAGAACGAGAGTTGTTTTCGAGATCAAACCAAAGCCAGATGTAGCATATACATGTATAGCAATCACATCACAACATCACAAACGACTGTGTAGAAGCTGTCGGTGTCAACGTCTTTCTTCATGTAGAGATACCGTGTTGCGTCACTAATGGACTTGATTGATTCAATACGGTCTGGCGGGACCAAGTATAGAGAGATCAATGGGGCTGTCGCTATGGCACACGAGGCTGTGAAAGCGATTGACCAATGTTAATATACTGAGCCCAAAACACATATATGAGGGAATTAAGCACGCGTGTACATTTTGGCAAAACTAAAATTTTTTTATGATAATTAAGGGGTAGAATGAAATGTCACTTACCTTAAGTTAGTTCCAGATTTTGTTGTCGGAACTGCATGGTTTTTAATTGTAACATATTAATAGCACGAACGTTTATATCTAAAAATCATGAACGATCAGTAACTAAAACATAAAGGCATATGCAATTAGGAAAGCAATATTAATGTTGTAGCCATGCTTTTGTGGGTGGTATGTTTAAACTGTTTAAGAAACTAAATGATAATTAAGCCACAAAAATAATATAGTTCGTAGACTTCGTAGAATATTTAAGTTTAAACAACTGGATTTAAAATTGTTTGTTGTCATACGTTTAAATCTGAGAAAATAAATAAACATTTCGGATCATATAATTCACTGTATTTATAGTCAGTAAAATAATAATGAAAAGTATTTCAAAGCAAAATAAGAATTATTTAATGACAGGTTTTAAATTATCGTTTGATAGCTTGAATAAACCTCCGGAACATGTTTAATGTACATTCTACCAATAAAAATCATATACCGGATCAAACACTAAAGAAAAGGGCAAATTTCAAGCCTATCCACAAACGACAAACGCATATTCCACGCGAAAGCAAAATCAAAACAAATATGCCACGCCCAGTTCCGCGTGCTTGGTTAGAGTGAACTCCCTTTGTTTGTATTATAGATGGCGTTCGTGTGTGACGTCAAAAACTTCATTTGTGCTGCAGTAATGTCAGCACATGAATGAGTCGTTTGGAGCACTGCGTTCTCAGTTATAATATGGATAATCTGTGTTTTGTGTGTATGGATACATTGTAGTTTTATGCATGTGTCACATTCTTGTCGGAATATATCTTGAAGTCGATAGACATGGACGAAGAACACCTCGCAGTTCTACTCATCACGGCCAATGTCGGATCCATCTTCGAAGAAGTGAGTACAGAGAAGCACCATTGATTGTAAACACTGGTGCAACTGTTGGTGCATGTGAACAGTTTATACGATGGACCTCTATCTCAGAGGTAGTAGCCTGATAACCGTCTGCTATATTATCAGGGTTATAGATTCATCACAAGAGAGCCGTTATTATCTTTCATGCTGTGCAATATTTTGCCATTCTACGATACCAGACTGAACTGTAATTAATTTTACTATACGTCATTAACTTAATGTAAAGGGTATATTTACATGCTTCACTGTAAGTAAAGAGACCGAAACTTTATGCACAAAGAGATAGTCTATTTATGCCATTGAGATTGCCTGTATAGTTTGAAATTTATTATGAAAAATAGTAATGACAATAATGATGTTTTGGTTTTCTAAATCTAAAAATATACATGTGCTGTAGTATTTTGTAACATGTGCACTTGTCATAACACACTGGTTTAAAAATTCAGTAATCATAAATATTGTCAATGGGGAAATAATTAATAAAATGAAACATACCCCTTTATGGATGACAACTTGTCATCCGTGAAGTTGTATGTTTCATTTTTGACCTACAACTTCTAGAATGCCGATCAAAGAAATTATTAATGATTATCAGTATGAAAATAGTGCCACTGATAATAATGTACACTACTGTGATGAAATTTAGCTTTGATTTGCTCAGCCAATGCACAAAGTTAGATCGTTATTCATGGGCTGCTTCTAATTTATGTTCAGGATGGTCTTTTGTTAGTACTCCAAGAGACTGATGTGAAATGTGTCGATTTCTTTCAGATTTTGGAGTTGTTTTTTCTCAAAGTTACGTCTCAAATATTTACTGATATTTGATATTTGAGTGATATTCAGTTAATAATTATTGATCTCTCTGATCGATATTGATAGCCAACCCTATACACTGGTGACATGTCCTTAATCTTATTGTTTATGATGAGGTTGTTCACCATTTGTGTTTGTTCATGTCTGTGTGTGTTTTGACATGTTCAACACTGTGTAAATAAATATATGTATCTATATGCAGACATAAGCAAGCATATTTCTTCTGGTATAATGTCAAATAGCTCGTTAGTAGCCTTTAGTCAATATACAGTTGCTACTAGCCAGCATAGCGCCATTGACAATGATAGAACTCTATGGATTGATAACTGAGTTTCATTCATGTTATTTATAGTCATTAGTAATTATGTCCATATTCCAGTGTATCATATTCATGCTAACAGTGTTAGTATTGTACTCGTTAAAATGCTATACTACACCATGGTTATTTGTAGTTTGTCGTTACGTAATCATTTCGTAATCCACTTAGTAGGAAGGTCATGTAAGTGTATTAACGAAGGGTCATTTTACTGCTCTATTTAAATCACATTTCCCAAACCTTAAGCCACCTCTCAGCAACATGACAAAACAAGAACGCCTTTTCTTTTGCCCTTTTTTATCAATGATGGATAACCAGTCCTTACACCCCTGACTTTCATACAATTGTATGAAGTATTTTTGAACTGTGTCAGTGATATTGAAACAACAGTTCTAAGTGTAAGGTCAGGTTGAGAGAGATGTGCAGCACAAGCAGGCAGTAGGTTCGGAATGTAAACAGTGGAGCAGAGGAAGGAACACTGCCTATATCATTAATCACTGGAGATTGTGGGTGAGACTGCTGGTGATCAGCCTGGGTAAATCTATACTGGCTTCCTCTACAGCAAGGATGCTGCCACATTACAGGTCTACATTTCACAGTTCATTTATCTCACTGATAGCCTCAGCTCATCTCCTGTAAAGACAATGTTATTCCAGTAAGTGTGAGTCTGGAGTATATGGATCAGCCTTTTAGTGGAATTGGTCAGAAATTATCCAAGTCTATTCCATGAGAGAGATGTTTCCACACTTTTTTCATGGTCTATGAAAATATTGTTGTGTATACAAAGACGAGTTATTCCAAATGTTCTGCGTGTATATTCAAAATATTGTTTGTATGCAGAAAACAGCTGTTCCAAATACATTGCTTAATAAAAAAAACATACGTTTTTTGCTTTTGAACTATATTGTGTACCCGATAAGTTTTCAAATACATGTGTATGACCTTTGTATGCATGATCTCTTCCAAATATCATTGTATATGCAAAGGCTATTCCAAATTATATTTGTTTATACATGACAGTAATGAATTCCAAGCGTAAAGGTTTTCAATTTGCTTAATAAATGTTTTAAGAATCCACATTAATAATATGGCAGGACTGTTCCAAATTCCATTCTCAGGGTTTTACATGACGCATGATTCCTGCGTATTTGACGCAACAATTTTGTAAAAGACTCTCACAATATTATCATACGAGTCAAGCTTGACGCAAGTTTTATGGGTGACCCTCAGAATTCAGTTCAATAAAATCAGTTTGATAAGCAAACAATGATAGTTTTCGATGATAGTTTGACTTTTACAGAGCTGTCAGATTGTTCCAAAGAACAGGAGACACAGTAATCCTTGGCTCGGGTGACACTGCTACAAAAAGACGTACATCAGACCATACTACCCTCGAGAGAAGCATACAACTTATATTACTAACTAGTTATATAAATGACAATGCAACATAAAACTATAAAATATTTGCCAAACTCTTGCTTTTTATTTATAAACACAAAGGAATATTAAATTTTCATGACTCCCAAATATTGAAAATGACTCCCAAAAATAGACATTGCGAGTCACCATGACTCCTATTTTTCAAAGTCTGTGTCAAACTCTGCATTCTGTATAAAACACAGAGATATAAAAGAATATTTTAATATAGAAAAGACCTATTACAAACATCAATTGGTATGAAATACTTGTCCTATGTTAATCTCATATATTTGTAATAGTCATTTCAAATATCTTTGGGTTAACATCGAAAAACAGGCAGATATTTCCAGAGGTAGATTAAACATAAGCTGCATCAACAATCAATGTAATCCACATCTAATTTATTTAACTTTGTCACTAGTGTCAGCTGCCAGATAGCTGGGATATTGCTGAGTACAGCGTAATACAACAAAACACTTATTATAAGGAGGAACAGAACAGTGGCAGTGTCAAAACCTGATCTCCCTGCAAGTGAAACGGTACAATAAAGTTCCCTAAACTTGTTCATTTGCTTTTGACAATGACATGAAAGTTGAAACCCTTTTTCTGACTGGTAATAATAATCCCCATATTTGATATCCAAATTCGTACCTTGGTGAAACAAATGAAATGCTACTGTATGTGCTGTAATCTTGTGATATGTGTCACAAAATCTTACAACCCAATATTGTCAACACAGTATAGATGATTATGATAAAGTGATATGCATCCTGGAATCGATTAGAAATTTTACAGTAAGGTAGCAGGTTGGAACATGAGACGCAGATCAGGATTACCTCACTTGGTTCATATATCTGTTTTCAAGAGGTAGTTATTGAAAGAACTATAGTACAGTTGAATAACCATATTTTAAGTCATTTTTAATCATTTCTTAATATTTTAGGTAAAATAGCTATTTGAATATGAAAATGCATTAAAAAAGACATAAAAACATTTGTCCATAGTTCATGTATTGATGTCAGTTGTTTTGTAATACGGAAATATCTTTTGAGTAAACAGGTTCACGAGGAACAAGAAAGAGTAGCTTTCAATATTGGTGTTTTGTGTATAAAAACACATTACAGTTGACCACAAACTGTTTTACCATGCATTTGACAAATTATTCACCTTGATAGCATTATGGTTATTAATATCTCTCTGTTTAACATTCATATTGAAGCCATCATTAACACTGATATGTTATTCTATCTGGTGATCATGACAATACAAACAGGCTATTAACTTTATGTTAGTGACAGTTATGTGAAAGTGAGGAAATGTGAGGTCAGACTTGTTTGAAGAGATAACTACCAGCAGCCTGGTTTGGAGGAACACTGAGGAAAGAGGCTTACCAATCCAGGGGTTCAAAAAATCCCATCGCCCGACGCCCGGGACAAGTCAGTTTTCATTTCAGGCAATCAAATAATGGTATCTTACTTGTCCGTGGGCTACTAGATAATGTTGATTTCTTCTTTCATAATTACATCATCATGATTATGTCATAAAATCTGGGCAAGTGGAAAATTAGTCAGGACAAGTTACTTTTTTAAAGTCACTTGCCCTGTGGCAAGTGGCTTTTTAAAAAAATTTGAATCCCTGCCAATCATAGTGCTGTAGCAGGATGGCAAAGCAATATTGTATCTTGATATGATAAAATTATATGCAGATTCTCTAATACTTTCCAGGTGTGTATAAAGAGCTTAACATTCGCAGCATCCGTTTAGGTAGACTTGCATAAGTCTCTATGGTAATAATTAATAGTGTAAATGATAGTTTCTAAAAAAAATATAGATAACAGACTGGAGTCCTTAGATGTCCCCTTATCTGGACTTGCCTCTTTAAAGGATAGAATTACTATACATGCATGGGCTTACCACTCAGTACAGCCTTGGAGCAAGGCTACCCTTTAGGCTATATGATTGTGTCTTACAATATTTCTATTTAGGTTTCTCAACCCCAGTAAAAGATCAGATTCTCGTTGTGATACACCTGCAGAAGGACAATATTTGAACTTATGAAAGTATTGTATCAGGATAGAATCATATTGCACCATACTATCTGGATAGATATCATATTACGACATCCACCATATCATTACAACTTAGTTACAGTGACCGATAATTTGGATGGTTGACTGTCCCTATGTCTAGAACTTTCCAATGAAAACTGCATGTCATATCATGGACTGTTCTGAAAGTACCTCACAAGAGCAGGGAAAGAAACCTTTCAAAATTTTCCACTAGACCACAGGACCAGTGAGTGGACAATAATAGTCCTGTCTGTACTTCACTGGTCAAAATATCATTCAGTAGATTTACGGTACTTAAAAAATTCACTGGCCACCAGGGCCACTGCAAACTTATCATTTAGTGGTCCTGATTAATTTTTACTAGCC